CATTATTCTTAGTTTGTACGGAGTATTTTTTACACTGTTTCCCGACAAAGTTGACTCGCTTGTACCTTATTTACACCATTTCCTTAAACGTCTCTATAGTACCAAGTACTATTTTTACAATGTGTGACCCAAAATTTCAAAAGCAACGGCTAAATAATCAAATATGAAGTATGTGATTTGGGAACCTAATTTCAGATATTCCGGTCACAATATTTGACGACTCTAATTAATAAGCATGCGTATGTACTGAGAGACATAAACAGATAGACTCCGTACGTACTAATACAACCTAATTATATTATAATAAATAAACATCTGAATTAATGTTGGTAATTAATTTATTAATTAATTAACTAGTCAAGGAGATAGATCGAGGCAAAACACGGAGGAAGATCTTCATGTATGTAAATGCAGTGTGACAAAGTTCTGAAAAAACGATCATACTTTCCAGATTTTGTTAATGAAAATTGATTGAGTTAGGAAAAAGATAGAATAGAAATCTCTTACTACCGATTTATGTTTCCTACTTTTAAACATTCTTGCAGTTTCTTCCACCAAAATAACAAAAATCAAAAGGTAAGAATCTCATGAAATAAATATTCTTATTGTGCTTCAGCAAATCTCACATATACCAGATTCAGTGAGAAACAGCTACTTAACTTATCTGACGACTCATATAATTTTGACTATTTATTCCATCTTTTGATTGAGGAAATTGCATGGGAAGAATCCCTTTGTTACGTTCATGTTGGAGATAATTAGAGGTGTATAGATTATTTAACTACTTTCACTACAAGAATGAAGCTGTATTCTGATGGACAAAATCCATCGGAAAAAATAACAAAAACCGTCGGAAACAAAATTACCGATGGCAACCATCGGTAATTGTCCATTGGAAGCCCATGCATCGGTAATCCAGACTTTACCGATGGACAAGCCATCGGAAAAAAAATTACCGATGGTTTTACCAATGGGGAAACACATCGTGGAAAATTATATTTGCTGATGGTTTATTCCATCGGTAATAATTTCCGATGGCTAAAACCCATCGGAGTTTTTAATTTTCCGATGGTTTTTTGCCATCGGTTTTATTAAATCACCTATTAAATCACCGATGGTTTTAACCATCGGAAAATTTCCAAAAATTACCGATGGCACTATAACCAACGGAAAATCTGAAAATTTCCGATGGTGTTATCCATCGGTAAAAAAATTGTATTTATATGTATACAAATTTTTCCGATGGCCATCGGTAAATATAAAAAGCCATCGGTAATTGTTTTTGGTTTTTTTTTTCTAAAATAAAAAATAGGTACTACTGATTATTGGCGATATTATCAAACCTGTTATGTACCATATTGAGAACCTGCATTTTAATGAAACCTGATCATGCATATAAAACTACAAAGTTGTACACCCAAAGAGTGCTTGGAAACATATATCTTAGTTGATGCATACACACTAAGTTCATAATACACTAAATATATAAAACAACCGAGTTCTTACTACCATACTAAGTCAAAAGGCCATGCTAATCTAAGTCAAAAGGTCAAGCTAATCTAGATACGAAACCCTATACACATGCTGCCCCTGAACTACCACCCGCATCTGGTTCATCATCGCGATGTTACCTAGGAAATGGGGGGGGGTATCAAAGTTGTGGGACCCATACTGCAACATCCACCTTCTAATTTCCTCAAGCAAAAACTCTTGTCTCTTCTCTATTTCTGCTCATTCGGCGGCCAAAGCTTTCTCCACTTGTGCCTGAACCTGTGCCTGTACTCGTGCCTCCACCTCATTCTGCACTTGTGTCTGGAACTCGGCTTGGAATTGAGTTTGCATTGCTTGCACCCTCTCTTCAAATTGTGTCTGTAGCTGAGACACAATGGACGGTGTGTATGATTGGGAAGCACCATGTCGTGCTGGATTTCCATAGTACAAGTGATCACTCTGACCTAGTCCTTTCACATAACCCCTGTTTCGGCCCCAGCTGCCTCAAAGTACGCCCGGTTGGGATCACAAGCCACACCCTAACTACTTGATTCATCCATTCTTTTCTTGAAACGTTCCTGTAATTAACATGTTTGTTTATATTAAAGGAACGAAATAACATGGTATACTAAACATCTGAGTTTTAAAAATTCATATAATTCACACTAGTTACAACTTTCTAACACTTCACATAACCATTATTTTGCATATTTAAGAGTTTTAAGGTACAATGTGCACAAAACTAGTTCAAAATGGACATATTTTGGTACTTGCTTTCCTATAATCCACATATTCATGGAAATGCTTGAATAAACACTTGAATCATGTCTTAAACATGTAGTTACAACTTTATAACACTTCACATTACCATTATTTTGCATATTTAAGAGTTTTAAGGTACAATGTGCACAAAACTAGTCCAAAATGGGCATATTTTGGTACTTGCTTTCCTATAATCCACATATCCATGGAAATGCTTGAATAAACACTTGAATCATGTCTTAAACATGTATTTACAACTTTGTAACACTTCACATAACCATTATTTTGCATATTTAAGAGTTTTAAGGTACAATGTGCACAAAACTAGTTCAAAATGGGCATATTTTGGTACTTGCTTTCCTATAATCCACATACTAATGCTTGAAAAAACACTTGAATCATGTCTTAAACATGTTGTTACAACTTTCTAACACTTCACATAACCATTATTTTGCATATTTAAGAGTTTTAAGGTTCAATGTGCACGAAAATAGTTCAAAATAGGCATATTTTGGTACTTGCTTTCCTATAATCCACATACTAATGCAAATGCTTGAATAAACACTTGAATCATGTCTTAAAAATGTTGTTACAACTTTCTAACACTTCACATAACCATTATTTTGCATCTTTAAGAGTGTTAAGGTACAATGTGCACAAAACTAGTTCAAAATGGGCATATTTTGGTACTTGCTTTCCTATAATCCACATACTAATGAAAATGCTTGAATAAACACTTGAATCATGTCTTAAACATGTTTTTACAACTTTCTAACACTTCACATAACCATTATTTTTCATATTTAAGAGTTTTAAGGTTCAATGTGCACGAAAATAGTTCAAAATGGGCATATTTTGGTACTTGTTTTCTTATAATCCATATACTAATGCAAATGCTTGAATAAACACTTGAATCATGTCTTAAACATGTTGTTAAAACTTTGTAACACTTCACATAACCATTATTTTGCATCTTTAAGAGTGTTAAGGTTCAATGTGCATGAAACTAGTTCAAAATGGGCATATTTTGGTACTTGCTTTCCTATAATCCACATACTAATGCAAATGCTTGAATAAACACTTGAATCATGTCTTAAACATGTTTTTAAAACTTTCTAACACTTCACATAACCATTATTTTGCATCTTTAAGAGTGTTAAGGTTCAATGTGCATGAAACTAGTTCAAAATGGACATATTTTGGTACTTGCTTTCCTATAATCCACATACTCATGCAAATTCTTGAATAAACACTTGAATCATGTCTTAAACATGTAGTTACAACTTTCTAACACTTCACATAAACCTTAATTCATAACATTTATGACTTTTAAATTAAGGAATTTTAAATTACCGCAATCTCCAAAGCTTTCTTACTAGCGGGAACTGTTCCTTTTCCAGGAACTTCTTTGAAGTGAGTGCTCAAGAAAAGTTCTCCTGCATGTGGCAAGGCACCTCCTTTAGCCTTCGCCTATTAAACATAAAAAACAGTACCATAGTATTGAAATCTGAAAATTTTTGGATTTGTAATTATGTAATTAAATTAAGCTAAAACTGATTCTGTCCATACCATCTTCTTTGCATGTTGGGAAGCAGATATCGAACCTTGGAAGTGCGACGGTTCAATTTCATTAGACAGGGAACCGCCCCTCCTATTCTTCTTGTTCTGCTCTGATCTAGCCATGAATTCTTGATTGGTGTTGGGAACATCCATCATTGTCTTGTGTGCTTCTTCATTCATCCATTTTGGCTTCTTACCGTTCATTCTTTTGGTCACTTGGTTGAACATGTCACGAAGGCGATAGCCAGCTTTGTGGTGGTATCCTTTTCTTACTTGGGCATCTATGGCATCATCTCATTCAAACTTTTTCTGCATTCACAACAACAAAGTAAGTAGGACAAAGTTTAAAGAGTAACTAAAAAACAAGAGTATCTACTACATCTTACGGTAAACAAGTTCCACCAATGTTCCTTAGTGGCATCGTCAATTGTTCCGTAGTTATGCCAGCCATATAAAAAATATCCCTTTATGCACTTCGAGATGGCCTTACTAACCGAACTGTCGTCGAACCTAGAAATAAACCAAAAGGCAATAAGGGTATTGTCGTTAGAATTACTTAAATGCATACAAATTTAAATCATGGGTTTCTTACCACAAGCCGGTCAGGTGTAATCTCTTCTTTCCAGATGGATGTGAGCATTCTCCTTGCTGAAATTGTGTCTGGCTCTGCGTATTAGGGACTTGAGTGTTATTGCCGAGTCCCAAATACGACTCGTCCTCATCCTGCGTCTCTGAGTCTTGCATTTCACTATCTTCTAAGTGACGAGAGTTATTCACCTTGGAACAAGAATCCTTGCCTTTACCTTTTTTCCCCTTCCTGTCATGTTAACCTATAACGAAAATAAACACTACGCGTAGGTTAATTACATGTAACCAAAAAACACTTAAAATTTTATGCAAATTAAAAATACACGTAACCAAAAATTAACCTCAAAATTACATGTAACTAAAAAACACTAAAAAATATATGCAAATTCTTTATCACATGTAATAGTCTCCATAAACTAATTAAAAAAATAACATGAACGTTTCAGGGACAGATTTAAAACACAATATAGCCATTACTACTCAAAGATGCATGGTTCATGACATCACAAATATTACAACTTAGCGAATTAGAATCAGTACTTGGAGGAATTACAAACTACTACTGGGATTCATCACAACTATCATTACAATCATCGACATCATTCATCATCATCACTGTCCTCATCATCAGTATTCGATAACCAAATGCAATCATCCTCGCCATCCTCACTATCACTTGAATCAAACTCTGCCTCATCATCGCTGGAGAATGAACCTTCTTGAACCAAATCCTTATTGTCCGAATCATCATCTATTTCTTCAGTACCAACACCATAGTCCGGAATATCATTTGGTGCACATAATGTTGTGGTGGTGTCACTAGTTGTTTCTTGCAAAAATTCCATGTCCACGGGAGCATCAACAACTGATCTGACCTTTGTCTTAATCACAGCCCACCATTATGTTCGATCTCTCTTCAAACTCGGGTAGGGTGCAAGGTACACTTGACTAACCTGATAAGATAACACAAAAGGGTCGTACTTGGGGTATTTCTTGGTGTGGTTGACATCTATGATCTTGTATTCCTCATGTACCGTCATCCCCCTGACAGAATCCATCCACTTGCATTTAAACAAAATGGCCTTATATGATCTAGTAGGACCTGTGTAAACTAGTTCAATAATGTCCTCTAAGGTCCCAAAATACTGACCCCCTTCTGCATTTGAAACAGAAACACCGTAGTTCATTGTTGATTTGTATCTTCCGGTCATCTCTGTTTGAAAATTATATCCGTTTACAAATATTTGCTTCCAAGTCCTTATTTGACTAAAAGGGCGCATTGACAATGTTTGCACGATATCATCTGCTGGCTTATCTCGAATTACCTAAGGAATACCCAAATAATTCCATAACGTGAGACAAGTTATTAGCACTTAATCTCTTTGGACAAGTAAAAAGCAAATATTACCTTATCACGAAACCGATTAGGAAACTCTTTCTCAGATCGTTGCCACACATCTTCTCTACGGAAATTAGGTTGTGTGTGAAGAATGTGATCCTCAAACTCCCTAATAAATTCAAACAAGCAGTAATTGATGGTTTGCTATATAATCTAACTCCGTTACATAACAAATTTTGTACTTTAAAGTAGATAATTTTGGGGTTACCTTTCATACACCTCTAGAATGCCACAGTTTTATAAGACATAAAGGTGTGCCCTTTCAAGTTCCTTAGAATCCATATAACGTAATCGCCCAGAATTAGGAACACGACCACAATCAACCTTGAAGAGTTTAGGGACTTTGTTATTAGGTTCCATCTCAGTGTCGACCACGACATTTGCGTTTCTACTAAGATCCCTAGTTTTGGTATCAACACCATCTTGGAAATAATTAGAGAAAACGTTTGCAATTTCCTCCGTAAGGTACGCGTTGCATATAGATCCTTCTACTCTAGCCTTGTTACCAATTTTGCGTTTCAAATTATTCAAGAACCTAAAAACGTAGACATCCTAGTTAGATGTGTACTGTACTGACATTTTTCCAAAAAGTGAAATTGACAAAACGTAAGACACATTACCTCTCGAATGGATACATCCAACGATATTGAACTGGGCCGCCTACTCTTGCCTCGTATGGAAGGTGAATAGGCAAGTGCTCCATAGAGTTGAAGAAAGCAGGGGGAAGATCTTTTCAAGTTTGCAAAGAATCTCAGCAATGTTGTTTTGCAGACGTTCCATGTCAGTATGTGTTATAGTGGAGCAACACAAATCTCGGAAAAATTGGCTAATTTCAGTAATAGATTTCCAAACATGGACAGGGAGCAACTCTTTCAAAGCTACCGGAAGCAATCTTTCCATGAACACATGGCAGTCATGGCTTTTCAAGCCATGAAGTCTACATGCTTGCATATCGACACATCTACTCAAATTAGAAGTGTACCCATCAGGAAACCGTAACTCTCGAATCCATTTGCACAGGACCTTTTTCTGAGACTTGTCGAGGGCAAATGGTTCCTTCGGTTTGGTCTCTTTACCTCTTTCATCAGTTACAACATGAAGTCCAGGTCTCTTGCAGTATTTTGCAATGTCTCTTCGAGCACTGATCTAGATTGTGACGTATAAGCAAGTTTTTTTCGATGTGCATTACATCTAGATTGTGACGTATAAGCAAGTGCTTCCAATAAGGAAGCTCCCAAAGAGTGCTTTGCTTAAACCAACCTTTTTTGGCCTTTTTAAGCAATTTCAAAGCAGCAGGACCATCAGTTGCCTTTGCCAGGTCCTTAACACATTCCCATAATTCTAGCCCAGACATAATATGCGGTGGTGACCCCTTTTCAACTCTGTTCCTACAAAAAGCTATTTTGCTTTTTCGAAATGGGTGATCTAGATCAAGAAATTGTCGGTGACAATCAAACCACAAAACTTTGCCACCATGATCAAGCCAGAAAGCCTTGGATTTGTCTAACCAGTACGGACATGCCTTCTTACCAGCAGTTGACCATCCAGATAGCATACCATATGCTGGAAAGTCGCTAATGGTCCAAAGTACGGCAGCCCGCATAGTGAAGTTTTGCTGCTTAGAAAGATCAAAGGTGTTTGCCCCAACATCCCACAATTGCTTAAGTTCTTCAATCAGTGGTTGCATATAGACATCCAAGTTGCCCTTTGGGTTTTAAGGACCGGGAACAAGCAGAGACAAAAACATGAATTGTCTTTTCATGCACATTGAAGGAGGCAAGTTATATGGTGTCAATATCACTGGCCAACAGGAATATTGTCCTCCAAACTTACCGTGAGGATCAAATCCGTCGGTGCACAATCCAAGTCTCACATTTCTAGGTTCTGAGGCTAATTCTGGAAAGGTCTTGTCCAAGTGTTTCCAAGCATCACTATCAGAAGGATGAGCCATTGTGTTTCCAACTCTATGATTATTGGCGTGCCATGTCATTTCCGCTGAAATGTTCTTTGTTGCAAACAACCTTTGTAACCTCGGTGTAATCGGGAAATAAATAAGCACTTTCAAGGGCACTAAACTTCCTTTTTAAGTCTTGCTATACCTTTCGCTACCACACACTCTGTAGTTGGACAAGTTCACATCATCCTTCCAAAACAACATGCAACCTTTTAGAAAGACATGTATCTTCTCATGAGGAAGCTTTAACCCGATAACTACTTTCTTAACCTCGTACTCACACTTCAAACTTGTGATTCTAGATGCAATTTCCAAAACAGACATGGAACTCCCTTCATATAAAGGACGCTCAGATTCCTCTAACAAATTAAGGAATTTCTTAGCTTGAGGATTTGTCTCTTCCTCCTCAAAATGACTCTCTTCTCCACCACCCATGTTAGGTGGGTCATTCCCAAGGGCATCCATAAGCATGTCACGATATGGATTAGGTTGGGGAGGTGGGATGATTGGAAACCCTTCACCTTGACACAACCATTCATGGTAGTCCTCCACAAAACCCTTTCTATATAAGTGCACTTTAACCGTCTCAGAATCATGTAGCTGAAGATTCTGACATTTAACACAAGGGCACCTAACCTCATCAACTTTACTGCTCTCTAGATGATCTTTACAAAACTAAATGAATTCATCAACCCCTTTCACGAACTCCGGTCTAATGTTGCGGCCATCCAACCTTTCATACATCCAGCTACGATCTATTCGTTTCATGATTGCAATTCTACAAATCTCACCCAAATGACCACAATATTCAATCTAAATAAAATAATCATGTTGTTTGAACAATTAAAGCAAGAAATAAGGTTATGAATGACATCGTAGGGTCATTATCTCTCCAACCTAACCCATCCTTGGACGTGTAATCCCACTAGTAATTGTATGCCAAGTTTTCAATTCCATGGAAAATTCGGCAGCATTTCCCTACAGTTCTCCAAGTACACAATATGAGTAGTTATGTATACTTATATGTGTACCCAGAGAACAGATTAGGAAAACACGTAGCCAAAATTTTCCATAGAATCAATAACAAGGCATACAATAACCACCTAAGTGAGAATGAACGTCCAAGAACAGTCCCAACCGGGGACTATTCAAGACATACACCTAATGTGTATGTCTTGAACGGGTATCTAGGCAAATGATGATGCAATTGTTGAATCAAAATTGAGACGAGTACATGAAGATCAAGAAACAAAATTATAGACATTAACATCATTATCCACATAGCATTGCATAAAAAAGTAACACATAAAAATAATTAAAAGAAAAATCCAAAAAATGTGCAATTAATTCACAACAAAATCCATAATCAATCAAGCTAGAAACATATAAATTTTTGGTTTTTTAATTTATGAAACATGAAGCAAATAGGTGTATTTAAACATCCAACTAACAAGCTCCTAACACATTATTATATTTTACTTAACAAGTTAAGTACTAAAAAAACTAAGTTATTATCATATAGCATAACTAAATAATTAACACATATAAACTAGTACAACCGAATTTAGGGAATTTAACTCAAAAAAAGTTAGGGTTTTGACATCAAAAATTGAAAATTAAACAAATTACTCACCTATGGAAGGAGATCGTCGGTATACTTGCTACTAGGTTTTCGAATCTGTAAAGATTTATGATCCGTCGGTAAATAATTGAGTGAAAAAAATAATGTTTAATTAACAAAAAAAAATTAACACTTACCATGTACAACCGGCCAACGACAGGAGGAACAGGACCCGGCGAAGACTCCGACGGTGCTACCGGCGATGATGCGCCGGAACAGGAACAGCCGCCTTCACCGAAACCCTTCGCCGTCACCCTGCACTCTATCTCTCCGTTGGGTCGAACTTTGAAAAAAATAGATCTAAAACCTGAAACTAAGTCGTGGTTTTTTTAAATATATCAGCATATTACCGATGTCTTTACCGATGGTAATGGCCATCGGAAAAAAAATAATATTTTTTTTAAATTACCGATGCCTATAACCATCGGTAAAAAACTAAGTGTTTTATTTATTTTTTTAAGAAAATTCTACGACGGAAGAAAACCATCGGTAATAAATTCCCGATGGTTTAGCCATCGGTTGACCATCGGTAAATTTAGTAATTTCCGATAGTCACGTAAACCATCGGAAATTGAAGGTATTACTGATGGAATTTAATAGCCAACGATAATTGCCATCGGTATTTCATCAATTTCTAGTAGTGTTTTAAACTCGGTCACTAACTTTTTAAGCTAAGTGGGTTTATAATATTGTTAATGAAAAGTTTTCCAATTGAATTATTTGGTAGAAAGATATCTTGCTTTAGACTTCAACAATTTTTTTAGTGTATGGTATTAGTCTCCCAATGGCCAGACCATCACCAAAATATTTCATTAGCGTGGGATGCTTTCCTATGTGTGCTCCTTCTAGTCAAAATTTTAGAGCTCGGGTTTTTATGTTTGTTTTTTTTGCTACAATAATAATTTTACAAGTAAGTTAAATAAGATAACTTTAAAAAAGATAAGTTATTATAAAATTTAATATAAGTTATTCAAATTTAATTTACAAGTGAAAATATTAATAATTAATGTGGAGTAAATAATTGAGATAAGTAGTTGGCACACTTTTAAGTGAGGATTAAGGGCATGTTCTCTTACGTTGAAATTCAGTTCAACTCAGTTTAGTTCAGTTCAGTTCAGCTCAGCTCAATTCAGTTTAGTTCAGCTCCTAATTTTCTTCTCTTATAAAATATTCATTTCAGTTCAGTTCAGTTAAGTTCAGCTCAGTTCAATTCAGTTCAGCTGAGTTCAGTCAATGAGAATAGGCCCTAAGTAAATGAAATTTGCCTATAATTTGTCATTGTTAAAGGACTAGCTAACTCAACTAGAAGTTAAATTAGTACTAAATATTCCTCTTTAAAATAAAGGTACATAAAATTTGAACTCATGACCTTACCCATTGTTTCTTAATCATATACTATGTTAAATCAATTCAACACGGAAAACACTTAATCTTATGATTGAGAAGCCCAAGATTAATTTTTATGCTCAATTAGTTATTGTTCATTATATGATACGAGTTGACAAGCCAAATGTTCTTTTATTGCTTTTTTAGCATTAGTTTCTTATTGTTAGTTTAGTACTTTTTTTTTTTTTTTTGAAGAAAACGGTTAGTGCACTAAATCAATGAAAGGTTATCCAAAAGTACATACGGGCGAACCTCATCCGGAACGAGGAACTCCCACAATTGCTCATGACCAAACGACACTAACCTAGCTAGGTGATGGGCTACAAAATTACCCTCACGCTTTACATGGGACCAAATAATGGAAGAAAAATTCGAGCTAACCACAACAATATCCTCTAAAATACCATCAACTGTCGCAAAGGCAAAAGAATGCTTCTTGATTTTTGAAACAAGCTGCAAAGAGTCGGCTTCCAATATGACATCCATATAGCCTAGCTCCCTTGCTTTCCTGAGCCCAAATAGCGCAGCCTTGCTCTCAGCAACCAGAGGCTCCCAACGAGCTCTGGCCCTGCTAACCGCAGCAAACATCACCTGCCCGTTACTGTCACGAGCTATAGCACCAAGCCCCACCCACCCATCTTCAGATATGGATGCATCAACATTGATTTTCACAGCACCAAGGGGGGGAGGTAACCACACCGTTCTGCCAGCAGGTTCTGAGGGAGTAGTACCCCCATAGATCTTTTCGGTATACTCCTCAAAATCAATCACAAGCCTACTATGGCGCAGGATAACAGCTTCATCAGCATCCCAGAAGTTTTCAAAGATCCATTTGTTGCGGCGAAACCATATAAACCAAGCAAGGAACAAGCTCCTCTGATATACATCCTCTTCTAAGTGTTTTCCCCATGAAAGAATTACTTCACCGAAGGAATCAGAAGTAGCAAACTTAAGAGCCTCGAAGCATCCACTTTTCAGCCACAATTGATGAGCATTAGGACACAAAATCACAACATGAATAGTTGTTTCATTTGCCGAATTGCTGCAGGGACATACTTGATCTTCAATCTGGTGCCTATGAGCCAAGATGCTTCGGGTTGGCAGCGAATTAGAGCAACATCGCCACAAGAACTGACTCACCTTAGGAGTAGTCTTTGTCTTCCATATCTCCACCTAGAATTTCTCAAAATCATCTAAAGCAAGGGACATTCCCAACAGATATGCAGATTTCACTTCATAAGAGCCATTCTTCGACCATGCCCAAGTCAGAGCATCATTTGGCATTCTCTCGCTGATCGGGATGGCTAAAATAGCCTGCCTATCTTGCTCATTAAAAAACCTCTCCAACTTAGCCAAGTCCCAGCAGCAAGCATCATCATCAATTAACTCCGCAACTGTCTCAAACTCGCCCTCTGCTTTCTGTCGAAACAAATCTGTTGTCACCATTGAAGAGCCAAGGGTCCTTCCAGATGTTGATATTTCGACCATTTCCAACTCTCCATAGCAAGCCCTCCTTTACTAAGGCTTTAGAACTCCATAATCTCTGCCAAGAATAACTCGAAACCGGACCAAGAGCTGCCTCAAAAATGGACGTATTCGGGTAGTATTTAGCCTTCAAAACCCGACTCACAAGTGAGCCCTCATTAGTTGCTAACCGCCAAATTTGTTTCCCAAGAAGAGCTTGATTGAATACCCCCAAATCTCTAAAACCCACACCTCCAAGAAATTTAGGTTGGCATAGAGCATCCCAACTTTTCCAATGGATCTTTCTACCTATCTCATTCGATCCCCACCAAAACCGGGCCATCATACTATGAATCTCTTGTATCAAACCACTTGGAAATCTATACACCCCCATGAGATAAGTTGGGATTTCTTGGATGACAGATTTGAGAAGGACTTCCTTTTCGGCCCTCGATAAAAGCTTCTCCTTCCAACCTTGAACCTTCTTCCAAATTCGATCCTTCACATATGCAAAAACCGCTTTCTTCGATCTCCCTATCTCAGTTGGCAAACCAAGGTATTTCACATGATTCTCAACCATTTCCGTCCCAAGGACAGAGCTAAAAGTGATCCTGGCGGGCATAGAAACCCCCTTACTAAAAGATACTTCCGACTTTTCTAAATTAATTTTTTGCCCGGAAGTTGCTTCGTATTTGTTGAGAAGGTCAACAATGACTGAACATTCCTGTCGAGTAGCTCTAGTAAAAAGGAGACTATCATCTGCAAAGAATAAATGAGTAATATCGGGGCCATTTCTGCTAGCCCTCACACTATGGATCAATTTCTTCTCCGAGGCCAACTGTAACATTCTAGAAAGAACATCAGAAACTAGAATGAAAAGGTAAGGGGATATAGGATCACCTTGACGAAGGCCTCTAGAGGGAATAAGGTCATTCGAGGGGATCCCATTGATGATGAAAGAGTAGCTGACGGTCGATACAAAAGTCATTATAGTATCCACCCAAGCTCCAGCAAATCCCAACTTAGTCAAAAGTCTTCTCAAAAATTCCCATTCGACCCGATCATAGGCCTTACTCATATCCAGCTTCATAGAAATAGAGCCCCTGCGACCTTTTGATCTTTTCTTCATTGTGTGAAACAGTTCCAGAGCAATAAGAGCATTATCAGTGATTAAGCGTTTTGGGACAAAAGCACTCTGATTTTCTGTAACCATCCGTTGAAGAAGGGGTTTAAGCCTATTAGCCACAGATTTAGAAGCCAATTTATACAAGACATTACATAAGGAGATCGGTCTAAACTGTGAAATGCAAGTGGGATCCTTGACCTTCGGAATTAGAGCCACATTAGTACGATTCACATGGGAAATCGAAACTCTACCAGAAATAATATTATTGACAAACAAAGTCACATCATCACCAACAATATGCCAATATTTCTGATAAAAAATAGCATGTAAACCATCAGGCCCCGGGGCCTTACAAGGACTCATCTGAGAAAGGGCAGCAAAAATTTCATCTTTAGGATAAGGACAGCATAGAGAGTTATTCGTACCTTCGCACACCAAATGTGGCACACTAGCAAGAACCTCGGTGAATAAACCATCATCAATCTCGCCTCCTGTGAATAAAGAGCCATAAAAGTCAAGAATAATTTTCTCGACTTCGAGTTTACCCGTGCGCCATTCTCCACTAGCATCCATAAGCCCTTTGATGTAATTTTTACTCTTCCTTTGAGACGCTTTATGGTAAAAATATTTCGTATTGCGATCCCCATCTTTGATTTCTGAGACTCTCGATCGAAGAAACCAATAAGCTTCATTTTTTCATGTAAATCATCAAGAATAGCCTCCAACTGTTACATTCTTCAAAGTTTGGCTGATTACTCGAATGCAATTGGGCCTCTTTAAGATCCTCCTCTGCCTTTGTTATTTTCTCACCTAAATCCTCAAAAGTGTCACTACTCCACTTTGTCAAATCTTGGGCAATTGCCAGCAGCTTCTGAGGCATATCAAGATGATGGGCTCCACTCCAAGACTCACGAATCACATCCTCAATGCCCTCCGCAAGCATCCAGCAAGTTTCGAACCTAAATCTCTTCTTCTTTTTTTTCTTTTTTTGCTCACCTTAGGATCAGAATCAAGTAGGATAACCACATGGTCAGATTTGAATTTTGTTAAATGTGTCATATGTGCCTGATTAAACCAAGCGCACCACCTTGTACAACCAACATATCTATCCAACCTTTCCCTCACCACCTCCCCCGAATGTATGCCCCGTTCCCAAGTGACCCAAGACCCCTCATACCCAAGGTCCCTCAAGCTACAATCATCGAGGACCTCCCTAAAGGCATCCATAGCACGTTGCTCATGCAATACACCCCCCGACTTCTTATGATTCCCAATTATTTCGTTGAAATCTCCTCCAAAGACAATAGGATGAGGGGAGTTAGTATACAGCTCACGAACTAGGTCCCAAGTATGACATTTCAAAGCCTTATCCGCCCACCCATACACTCCTATAAAACGCCAAATCCTACCTCCGATTTCCTTCACATCCCCACAAATATGGTGATCCGAGAAAGACACTAACGAAAAGTCCACTCCTTCCCTCCAATACACACACAAACCACCTGATTTCCCTGTACTGTCCACTCAACTGACATAGGATAGCTAAATTTATTTTTTAAATTTTCTGACTTATATTTGCTGATCATGGTTTCTGACAAAAAGATGATATCTGGGCAAACACTACGACTCCAATAAAGGAGAGCACAAATTGCACGAGAGTGGCCCGCTCCCCTGCAATTCCAGCATAATATTTTCATTGTTGTTCAGGGGGTTGGCTCACTCCAACACCCCTTACTTGAATTATTCCGTCTCCGACAATATCAAACTTCTCAGATTTTTGTTTTTTTATTATTTCAGAATCCATCAGAAATGAGTCAGAGTGCGCCATTACATCCAAACTTCTCTTGAGGCCTGACTCCTTCCCCTTGTTGCCCAAATTAGAAGCCTCGGATCCCCCAGCCAAACTACTAATTTCCTTTTTACAACCTTCTTTTTCCTTGCCACCACACCAATAGTATCTTCAATCATATCATGTTCCATCCCAGAAGCCTCATCCCCCACCAGATCAGCACCAAGGCTAGAATTATCACCCTCATTTTGGGCAGCCCTCTCTTCTCTATCATCTTCACCAGCCTTAGTATTGACATCAGTCATCACGCTTTGCAGTCTTAGAACAGACTTCGATGTCTTCGTGTCCACGACCTTTATCAGAGAAGCTTCTCGAGGACGAGGAAGGGGGAAGTGCAACTTCCTCGCAACACCTGGAGGACCAAGTTTAACAACGTTGGGGTCATGGTAACTTGGAACCCTCACCTTTCTCGCAGAAGACAGCCTCTCCATGAACCTTTTCTCCTTCTCAATTTCAGTAGCAAGTTTGCGAGAAGGTTTCCTTGGCGAAGCACGAAGCCAAGGTCCATATTGATAGACAATTTCATCCTCAGTTTCATTCGCTTCATCCTTATGAGAGCACCCCGACTCCGTATGATCCAATCTCCCACAAAAGAAGCAAAAATCCTCTAACCGTTCATACTTCAAAGTCACCCACTTTGAGCATGATGCACCTACTGCCAAAAACAGGCCTCTTCGAAGAGGTTTCTCGACATCAATCATCAATTTAATGCGCACAAATTCCCCCCAACTCAAAGGATCTGAATCATCAATTTCCAAGAAAGTGCCTGAGAAATCGCCTATCTCGATCAAAGATTTTTTGTTACGTTTGTTAAAGGGAACATCTAACAATCTTACCCACATAGGACCATGCTTGAAAACAACTTCCAAGGGCTGTTCTTCCCCATTCACCTCCTTGAGGACAAGAAGCTTCCCATCAAAGAACCACGGGCAACCGTCAAGAACCATCTCCTTATCAGCCTCACTGACAAATTGGAACACAAAAAGGTTAGGTTCCACCATCTTGATCGAAACATTGTCATGTAATCTCCACACAGAAGTTAAGGTTCGTTTCATTGCCTCCGCATTGAAAGGCTTTGTGGTCATAAGTCTCCCTACTAAGGATAAAGCAATCTGATTCTTCATCTCATCATCATCAAATTCTTCAGAGTTCATACCAATAACCTTCGATTCTTCATCAGTTAATTTGATTTTTTCAAAGTCATTAAGCAAGTCGTCAGAGAGATTGAGGGGGAAATTTGAGGAAAAATTAGCAAGAATTAAGAGATTGAGGACAAGGAATTCGAGGAAAACCACAAGCCCTAGACGAGGGACATACAAACCCTAGACGAGGGACTATTGTTAGTTTAGTACTTTAGTATTAAATTTATGATACAAATAAACTGAAATGCTAAATAATTATTCAAAGAAGGTCAAGTTAAGAGAAATATGTCGTTTGATTAAAAAAAATGAGGGTAGTTGGGTTGAACAATCTATTCATTGACTACATATTATGAATTTTAATTTGCTAACCCAAGGAGAAATGGCATAGAATAACGCGGGAAAAAAGAGGCGGGAGAATTATTGAAAGGACCACATGGATAGTGTTTTAAGAATTTCGTTACGACATGTGAATTGGTCAATGTAATGTCCCCATTCCATTCCCAACAATACCTTCCAAGAATAAATGTGTATTCAATTTGTTATTGAAAAATAATTAAATCAGTAAAATACTCAGCAAAATAAAATCAGTATAAATTATACTCCTATTCAACTACAATTTAAAAAAAAATCAACTAGCAATAAAATATTACATGGTGGATAAATATTACTCCGTAGAAAATACAACTATTATACATATCATATGTATGGAGTAAAAGCATACTCCGTAAGTATTATGTTTCATAGTAGGTTAATATTGATTTGATGTAAATAGACTTGTCCAAAAATCAGATTTATATATCCATATATATCTAACCTATATCCGAACAATTATGTGGTAAACTATTTATAAATAGACTTGATTTTGAATCAAAGTTGTTTGATCTTGAAACAAATTTGATGTGATTTGAAATTTTTTGCCTTGAAATTAATTAGATAATCCGACCTATTTGACATTTTAATTTAGATGTGACAAATTGACTCTATAGTTTTGTAGTATGACTATTCTTACTAACCAAATATTAGGAGACCATGAAACACCTCAACGTCCAAGGTGGTATCCTTTAATATTCCTAGAAGGGGACATGACCATGCCTTATTTTTGTTCTTCTCTACTTACAATTGAATGATATTAGTAGGTCCTTTAATTTTGTCTTCACATATCCTATGTACTAGCTTAGGTTATAGGCTTACCTTCGGTATCAACATACTAGCTACATTTGATCTAATCTGAACTGAAGTGAAATATAAAAAGGAAGCTTACTAAACTAAACTAAGTGCATATTTTATTCACCCTGCATTGTTTTCACTTATTTTACGCTTAATAAGTTCTGATAAGTTCAGTTCAATAAAAAAAAAAGTTATGATAAAGGTTATCCAAGTTCAAATTATAATTAAAATAAGTTTTAGTAAGTTCAGTATAGTTTAGCTACGTTCATATAAGTGAAAATCAGGTGAATAATATACGCCCTAAATTATATTGAATGAAAGAATGAAATGAAAATGAGCCATACTTGTCAAAAAAAAAAGAAATGAAAATGAGTTCTAGAAAACGGGGCCTAAAAATCTCTCCGGTGAAATATGTGAATTCCTCATAGCAAAACATGTGGGGGCAGCATGCCAATTTTACGATAAGTAGCGATTATGACCAAACATGTGGGGAATGATTAATAAGAATCAACCAACCTTATTCTAAATTAAGAGAGGCAGTTGATCATGATGAGTAGCTTATTTTACAAACAGTATCGCAATTTCATGCCATATCTTTTGGGAGAATTATTTCTTATGGATTCTACAAAAACTATACGTTTGTTGTTGATTTGACTAGAGTTTTTATCATAGATAGATTATATCATCTTTTTATAATATGATCATCATAACATAATTATTGGTTACTTATGTTATGCCATGTTGAGAAATTCTTGTGTAATACTTTATACATATTACTATATTTTATGCCTCTTCCAATTGAATTATTATGCATAATTAGCAGATTTCATGTAATCTGATCCCAACTTCTCAAGAATTATTAGATAATTAATACATGTTGAACTAGCATTATTATTAGTAATAATAATTTTATGAATCTTATCATTTGACCTTAAATTGTTTCATTTAAGTGCTTCAACTGCATATCAAGATGTACATTATTAAGACATGTAGCTATTACCCTTGAAATCTTGCAGTTGGTCTCTTCGACCCTCAATAATAAGATTTGGCTGGTCCTATTTCAATTCCATGTTGATTATTGCTGACCAAGTTTACACATGACATGTAACTACTCCCTTATGATACATAAACTTGAATATATCTATTTTTTAATTAATAAATGTGGTTTATCTGTTAAAATTTGCCAGTTTATTTTACTACTAGCTACCATAATATTTTTTTTCTTACTCTCTATCATCTATTCTTCCGTAGTATATATATCAATATATGTATGTACGTAGTATATATTTATTTTTACTACTGGTAGCATATGTTAAGTATACCAATAGTGTAGTACAGTACATAATATATGTTAAGTATGAAGTACGTTTTGTAAACACAGGACAATAATTTTATGCGTTTATTTTTCTTTTCTATTGAATTTATTAGTGAGCACAATAATAGAGTGATGTACAAGCTAATAAAATATGTTTTTAAATAAGTTTTCATTGATCACCACTCGATACCATTTAAAGATCAGAGTTATGTTATGCATGACAACAATACAACAGCATTTTTAATTAGTCCTCTACGAATATAGTGAAGAGAAAGATCGAGAAAAATAGAGATCGATCGATATAGGGTGATTGAGATTAAATGAAAGAGTCTCAATCAAACAACGCTGGAGAAGTATTGTCCCCGTTGAATGGCACCACCCAAAAACAAAGATATTAGGTGCAAAATGAGCTAATATAGCCAAGTGCCTAAGTTAGCAAATGCAAGTGATATAACTTACAAGATTTACATGAAAAATGGCTTCATCTTTTATGCCAACTGTTAAGAAATAATAACATTAGAAGCATTATATTTGAATATTTCAAGACAAAAACATGCAACTGTTCTGAAAGAAACATTTGGTTCTTGGATGGACTTAATTCTACTAAATCAGCTCCTAAATATAGCTGGTATTACAAGGACTTCTTGGCTGCTTTCGTGCATTTTAAGTTCAGTCTTCACTCTTTCTGCAACTTTGACAATTTTACTTTGACAATTATTATATTGAGCATGTTAGTTCATTATTATATGATGGTCACTTTTAACTAACTATAGGGTTGGTTATAAATATTATATACTAATTTAATTTAATTTGTATTTGGATAACATGTATATTGTACGTTTTAATCTTTGATATCACTTGCTAATTAAGTTGTTCGTTAGAGTTAATATCACTTCACATAGTAGACTAGTAGTGTTTATTTGTTTCAATCACAAATTTGGTACCACATTTCTAAAATCGTTGAATTTAACGATATTATGATTGTAATAGCAACTGATTTCATAATTTATTAATATATTTTTTTTCACGTGATCATCTTCATATATAGATACTTCAATTCCAACATGGAATGATAATGCATATGATCAAATTGTTGTAACAAAGGTCAAGTAATATTACCTAATATTTTGAAAATGAGAGATATAACTTTCATAAAGACAACGTGGGCTACTATGTGGAGGGGGGATGGGAGAAGGGAGAAACCCTAACTCAAGGACCAATTTAAAATCCATCCTTGTGGTTGTGCCATAAATCTCCCACCTGATCTCCTTGTGGCCTTGTGGAGTTGTGGGCTCTTACTTAACAAGGAATATTACATTGCACAAAATTTATATAGAGTAAAAACCAGGCCAATATCCATTTCGATGAGGATGAATTGATAGAATGTAAAACATATTCCTGGGCCTTAACCATAAGCTTAAGTTTTTGGCTGAGTTAGTCCTCTAACATGGTATCGGAGTCAGCGTGACACAAAGGTCACGGGTTTGAATCTCATTCGTCCCTCCTTCAAAGTGGAATTAATTCGCATCAGGTATGGGTGGACCTGTGTTGCATCCACATTTCAAGCCCAAAGGGTCTTTCATGTGAGAGGAAGTAATAGAGTATAAAACATATTCCTGGGTCTCAACCATAAGCTTAAGCTTTTGGTTGAGTTGGTCCTACAAGTGAACTACCATGGGTGGTAGGTGAATTATGAGTGATTATATAAACTTATCCTCATCATGCATGCAACGCTAAGCTATATAAGAAACACCGGTATCTTACGTAGTATTAGTAGGTATTTTTAGTGTGTACTGATTTTTTATTTTTTTTTTAAACGTAAACAGTAATTATAAATGAATATTTAATGACCAAACGATTTCCTTATTTTAAAAATCTAAAGCATTGATTTAGAGATAACATATAGCATCCAATGAAAGATACACTTATTTGAAGCTGCTTAATAATATTAGGATAGAGACAATTCAGAGAGGTAGATGATAAAGCATTAAAAACCCTCTTTGGTGGGGAAATAGTGTATCTTCTAGCAATTTTGCTTTATTTTTGCATACACTCATTACCTGATGTGAAGTGTGAATCAGTGAATTCCATAAACTTCATAGATCAAAGTTTTACGTTATACAAGTAATAACAATGTTACATTTCTTTCATTCGTCCTACATTAAAAGCCCCTACTTGAGTGTTACTATACAATCATACATTATACCCATCACAATTTAATTAGACTCACAAGTCACAACTTGTGCGAAGTATTTTTTAAAATTTTAAGTGAAGGTCCCCAAATATCCAATGCAATTGTATAGTAATGTACAATAATTAAGTATAAATGTAGAGATGTTTCGATTTTTCAATGCTTGTGTCATTTTCCGTATGAAATTCGAAATAAGGGTTTGTTCTGTTCAACTAATTTCCGTTCAGTTCAATTCAGCTCCAATCAGTTCAGATCAGTTACGTTCCTAATTTACTTATTTCATAAACAATGTATATCAGCTTTATTCAGTTCCGTTGTTTTCAATAAATCAAAACAGGCTCTAAAAGCTTAGAGTCGTTCACTAACATTATCCTGACTTTCAAAAGTGAGGCCATGGGTCAAGCACTCAAGCCTCACCAATTTCATCCTTATCCAATAAAATATAAAATTATTGCTTGTATTTTTTTAATACATACGAGTACGAACTACTATACATGTAAAAAAATACTGTTGTCCTTATTTTCTTAATCTAATACGAACTACAACACGTAGTGTATTAGTGTGTTGGTCTAAATTTCAAATAGGATAAGCTACATCGGCCTTAGTCCACTTGGACTTTGTAAGAGGCATCCGAAACATATACAAAATGATGCTGGGCCTGTCTGGCCCGAATTAAAACCCATGTTAGTGTGTGGGGTAGTTTTCTACTGCTCAAAAATAAACGAAAGGTTCCAAACTTCCAAGAAAACATTTTCTTAGAGAAAACAAAATTTGGATTAGGACTACAAAACCTAGATAATAAGACCAACATTTTTTTTTTTGAAACAATAATAAGACCAACATTATGAAGGTTAAATCTCATTTCTTGCTTCCTTCCAAAAAAAAAAAAAATCTCATTTCTTGCTTGTAGTAAGTAAGGAACACTGCTTAATAAATGTCTTTACCATGGTAAATCCAATACATGTGTTTTTTTTTCGTTATATATATATATATATATATATATATATATATATATATATATATATATATATATATATATATATATATATATATATATATATATATATATATATATATATATATATATATAGAACTAAAAAAATTAGTTAGTAATGTAGACGGTATTTAATTTCAAAGTTTAACCACTATATGTAAGAATTCATAAACTGTGATAAATGACATTCATACGACAATAATGTGTTATGGTTATTGGTTATAATGCAAGCATTTCATCATGATACTTATTAGCTAACAGAGACGGATTGACTTTTAAAGCTAACTTGAAATCAGCCGCTACAAAGTCAGGATTGAGCTCTTTGTCAATCTCTCTCATTGATGGGTTAATTCTTCTCACTATGTACTTATAATCAGAGTTGGCAAATCTATGACCATATACAAAGAGTAGAAGCAGGCATTCGTTGAACAAACAAAGGGAAATGTTATACTCGTAGTTTAGAATTCGCCACACTCATGAGTGAGCTCCTTGTCAATCACCTTCATGGAAGTATTATTTCTCCGCTCCCTTTTTTACTTGAATTTAGAGTTTTCACATCGGGTTTTTGAGCCGGATCATAAATTCGTAAAATTAAAGTTGTCACATCGGATTTTTGAGCTGCCAGATCATGAACTCGTATAGGGTTTGATTTCATTCGCACTTGGTATGGGCCGATTTCAAGTTTCAGCCGAGTTATTTTTGAGTTGGGAAATTCATAGAACAATGATTTCCTAGAAATCCAAAAAAAAAAAAAGTCAGTAGAACCAAATCGCCCATTGGCATCGTGTTTTGGTCCATGAAGAAACTTAAAGGTGGACCAACACCTATTTTGGATTAAAATGCCCAAAGCCCTATATGGCCTACTGATCTATTATCCCCCTTAAGAGGGCAGCAATCCATCTCAGTACAGTGGATAATGTATTTAATCACATTTACAAATACATGTTTTTCCTGAGAATGAGTAAAGGAATTAGACGACATAAAACATGCTCATCTTGTACAGCAGTTGTCCAATCCTTGAAACTTGGCCTCCTACAGCCCCGCTCGAACATTCCCCTTGCGCTGAGGCAGCTGCTGTTTGAGCTCATGATGCGTTCTTAGTTGGATGTATGTGTTAAAGGTCATGGTCTCCTACATGATTCAAGAGAGTTAAGTTGTCTCCATTCTGCATACAACTGACAAGACACATTGGCCAGCTTTGTGGAGTCTATGCATTCAGTTCTTTTGACCTTTCATGAAGAACTTCTTCAAGAAGTTGGTTGATACTACTTCCTTTAACCTATCACAAGAATTATAGTAAGTTTGTAAATCATAAACAAAAGAATCATCTGTGCTTACAACAAGCAATGCACTTCATATGCATATCATAGCTTTGATTGCCCCCTTATATTCCTCCCAAATTATACACCCTTTTGTTATCACTTGGATTCCAAAATCACCACGATAAGCATTTCAAGCATTCCATGCTAATAGATCTTGCAAAGCTCAATAAATGACTATGAAACAAGAAAAATGTCAGGAAATGAGGAAAGGCAAGTTTTGATCTCTTAGACTTTTACCTTAACTCCAAGAGCAACAGCTGTTTTGACCTTGACAACTTCACCCAGTCTCAGAGAACCTTCTTTATTATCTTTAACAAAGATAATTGGCACATTTCTGGAAGAAGCCAAGCTTGGCAGATGCTTAGTGAGCCATCTCGAGTTACAGTCTGCTGCTACCAGCACAGCCTGATATCGTACTTGGAAAAATCACGAATGTGTCTAGAGCAAGGTAACACAAATTAAGGAAGAGGTAAACATGAATGGAACACACATGTTCTTGAATATGATATTTATTTACCCAAATCCATGCAGTAGGCAAGATGATGATAATGAAGGTTGCCATTAAACTGACCGCTAAACATTACCAGATCATGATAAGTATGTGGAATGGTAGGTGCACCAAGCTGTAGAGTACACATTATACAAAAAAACAGGTTCTCTTCTCTAGAACCAGTTTCCCCAAGAAAAATGTGAAACACGATTAAGGAAGTGGCACTAGTAATGGTAATATCACACAGTACTGAAAATGGGAATGTCAAGTTCATCTGTAAAGCATTACAATAGATATCAGGCACAGGAAAATCTATATAATGCCTGATCTTCTTTTACATCACCAAATAAAGAAGTCATATACACAAACATAAGTCTCTTACAAAGCATTCAGCTAATCAAACTTTCCTGCCCTGGCATCCCAAATTGCACTGAATCTTACTATTGCACCAATACACAAACCTTAAAGCAAATAATTTTTACTTATTTGCAGATTGTATAATCAACATTTAAGGGCATCTACTTTTAATTACATGGAGTTTATAAGGAACAATCGTGTTCATGTCAAATTGTCAGGTCTGAGTATTTCAGTTCATTTTTCTTTAGGTCCAGATTAATTTACTCCGTACTCGAACATCAGATTCACTAACAACAGTTTCATGTTTTAACAAATAATGATGCAGCTCGGGAAAAATACAAACCTGAAGTTTAGTGACAGAAGAACATGGAGGACGGCCCCCGGATCCTTTTTGAGCAGCAGCAAAGGCAGCATCATCACTAGATGGAGCCATTCGTTCAAGCAGTCGCGTCATCATTGATCCCAACAGCAAAGTGTTGCTGCAATAGTCCACATCAAATACCACCAAAATCAATAACTACTCCATATATATGTAAACTTAGGCAATACTATTATACAATATTCCTTGCACAATATTCAGTTTTGTCTAACATAAGTAAAAATCACACCTTGAACCGCAACTTCTCAGGTAAGATTCTATTGGACTGTAATTCTGATTCAATTCCCCTGTTCCATAATCACGACTAACATCATATCAATCTTTTATAAACATTTAATCCAATTTAGAGTGTGCTAATATCACCCATTCAATTAAAAAAAAAAATTACCCTAATTTGGAATTTCCCATACTGTATATATGCAATTAGGGTTCTTGAACATGAAAAAATTATTGAAATTACCTTTGGAGGGAATGGAGAAGACAGAAAAGACGGTCGCCCTCAATGCAGCAATCACTGTAAAATTAATAAACACAGTTATTGAATTAAAGCTTAGAAAAATTTGATACTTTATAGTAATGAAAATTGACAAATTTAAGATCAGGAAAAGAGAAAGAAATGAAATTACTTGTTGGGATTTTATTGATTTTGCACTTTGATGCTGTCTTTAATCTGGGGTTGAAGATTAGAGGTTCTTTTTTAGGTTTTTGACGACATTTTTATTGTTTCTAAACTTGTATTTCCTCAGTTTTTCTCCTTTCTCGTCGGCTGCCGGCTAAATTAGAAGCCTTGATTAAGCTCCCTAATGACCGGTGAGTTTTTACGGGTTGTAACTTGTAACTTCAAAAAGTATTGGAAATTTGGAATCGGGCATACGGGTGGATTAATTACTTCCTTTCTTCCCTAAAGCAATTGCATGACTTTAATGCGGTAAAAATCTTTACTAGTGAAGACATAAAAAATTATACTCCCTCTGTTTTCATATGATAGTTCCATATGAAATCAATCACGTAAAATAAGAAAAGGATAATATTTGGAATCTAACATTAAATTAAAAAACAATTCATAAATAGTTTTGTCTTATTTAATTTTTTTGATTTTTTTAAGGAAAGTTTTAGTCATATTTGTATAAATCAAGGGAGTAATTTCTTTACTTAGAATCATGTCACTAAGTTAAAAGTGGAATACATTCAATATGGGTAGTACTGTCAAAACGGTTTGACAGTTCGGTTTTGGTTCGGTTTGAAATCGGGTCGGTTTGAAATCAGTTCAAATGTCTTTCGGGTCGGTTTCAGTTCGGTTTAAAAAATTATCGGTTCGATTCGGTTTCGGTTTATTCTTGAACGGTTTAAATTCGGTTCGGTTTGTAAACGGTTCGGGTAGTAAACGGTTCGGTGCAAACGGGTTGCGGTTTGTTAATGGTTTGGTGTAAACGGTTTTTATCCCGGTTTAAATTCGGTTCGGGTTGTAAACGGTCCGGGTAGTAAACGGTTCGGTGCAGACGGGTTGCGGTTTGTTAACGGTTCGGTGTATACGGTTTTTATCCCAGTTTAAATTCGGTTCGGGTTGTAAACGGTCCGGGTTGTAAACGGTTCGGTGCAAACGGGTTGCGGTTTGTTAACGGTTCGGTGTAAACGGTTTTTACCCCGGTTCAAACATTTTCGGGTTAGAAACAGTTCGGTTCTTTTTTTGTTCGTGTTTATAACCGGTTCGGTTCGTTAACGGGTTTGGTTCTTCTATAATTAAACATTATATGGATCGGTTTTATTTAAGGTTAACCGGTTCGGTTCGTTAACGGGTTTGGTTCTTCTATAATATCTAATTAAGTAATTTGTATTTATGTACTAATCTACTAGTCAATTCTATCATTTATAAGTTTACACGATTACAAGTGTATTGCTTATAGGTATAGCTAAACTGATATAATTATAACCATATAATAAATCCGTAGTACTTCTAACTATCTAAGGTATGACGTCATTATATTATTAAACAATCTTTGATTTTTTATTAATCGCAACGCTAAACATTTACACGCTAACCGATTCACATTTTATAATTTGAGAAACGTAATATTTTAATGTGTGTGTTAAAAAATATAAAAGTTGATATTATGAAAGTATATATCGTTTTATCGGGATTCGAGAAATGAAATTAGTTTTTTTAAACCATGTAATTAATTATTTGTATAATTATTTGTTTATTGTTATTAAAATAAAAATATTTTTTTTGAATTTTATAAAGTGAAAAATTGATTTCATTTCTTTTGGTTGACAATTTCAACAAAATATAAATGGTGGGAAATTTCCCTCCAAAAACCAAAAGGAAAAACAAAGAATATAATGCAAAAAAAAATTAAAAAAAAAAAAAAAACAAAGGTGAAACGTGTGTAGGTGTATTGTAGCCAACTAGGTCATATCCTTTTCATTCACCACTTCACCGCCGTTTTGGTTCTTCTTCTTCATTCTTTAGTTCTTCTTCTTCATCCTCAAATCAGTTCTTCTTATTCATCCTCAAATCCAAGCGCTGAATTTACTCACTCTTAAGTTCTCAACTCTTCAAGCTCAACTTGAGGTAAATTTTAGTTGATTTAAATCGGTTTTCGTTTCGTTTTTCTTTTCGATCTCAAGTTCTCCATTCTCGTTTTTTTTATTTCGATCTCCAGTTCTCCATCTTCAAATCTTCCTCTCCTTCAAGCCGTCACAACTCAAAGGTAATTTTCTGTTTTTTTTTTTTTTTTTTTTTTTTTTTTTTTTTTTTTGTTTTCATTTCGGTTTTTTGTTGTTGACGGGATTTGCATGTCATAATTTTTTGATATTTAGTTCTGATTCGTATTGTTCTTCATATAATTTATGTTAATTTTTTGATTTTATGTTGTGATTTGTATTTGGAAAATGAAGTGTATATATTCATAAAGATTCATGTAATGTCATTTATTCCTTCTGTTTAAAATAAACATCGTAAACTTCACAATTATCAAAGTTTGATCTTAAAAAGCGAGAATATTATGAAGTTATTATGAGTTATATATATTGAAGAGGGAATTACTGTACATTGTGATGGGAATGGAATACATAAAGCCGAAGAGGTGCTACATGGCATAAACCAACATGAATAATTCTTCTATCAGCATCAAATCATTATAATCATACATTTAGCACGCGTATAAAGGAAATACCTTTCACCTATTGACACTATACCATGCATGCTACCTTATACTTAATAGTTTTTTTATTTTATCTGATTTATAGTTTCTGATTTTATAATTATAACCGAAATACTTTCTGCCATTGGGTTTGGGCACTGTGTGGTAGCATTTGTGTCAAACACCAACAATACAAGAGACCAAATTTGATGCCCAAAGTACTTTCAAAATGAATGGACTATAATCTTTAAGTATTTCATTTAAGAAGCTTGAATACTTTTTAGTACTAACCCAGGATGTCCATACTGTTTCTTATATGTCCATAGACTCCATACTGTTTCTTATATGTCCATACTGTTTTTAATGCAGTACTAAAAAGTACTTATATGGACAAACCCTTTTTGAATATGCAGAGGATGTCCATACTGTTTCTTATATGTCATAATTCAGAATGACTCATGATCTTTTGGTTGATATGAAATTTTCTCATATAGAATATATTCTGAACTTGAGTTCCTAATGCTAGCTGTTTTACTCGTGAGGAAATTAATTCTTCCAGCATACTCTAATAGATGCATTGGTTAGCTCTACCTTATCATATAGTATCATATTGTGACTTGATTTATATTGTTATGTTTCTGTTTTTTCAGCAATGGAGCAAGAGTTTAGTGGTTTTGATGAGGATTCTACTATGTGGTAGTAAGCATGGACGAACATCAGATGTTTGGAGGTATTACACCTTTTTTGATAAGATGGTTGATCTTGCTCCGGTAAAATATGCTCGATGCAAAGTTTGTGGTAATGGATATAAGACACCTGGTAAGGCAGGTACTTCAACTTGTAAAGCTCATACTAAGACATGCATGATTAAAAATCCACACCATCCTGGAAATCGTGAAAGTGGTGTTCTGTCCCCGTTTAATCAGACTCGTCATTTACAATTGCTTGCTAAAGCTATAATTTTGCATTCCTATCCTCTAAGTATTGTGGAGCATCATGGCCTTAGGGAAGTTTTTACGAACCTGAATCCCAACGTGCAGCATGTGTGTAGAAACACTATTTTGAAATATTGCATTGCTGAGCATGATAAGTTTAAGTCTTTATTGTTGCAATCTTTTTCTGGAATTGAAGGTAGAGTTAGCTTCACTTGTGACTTGTGGACAACATGCACTAATCGAGGTTATCTCACCTTAACTGCACATTATGTTGATAAAAATTGGTGTCTTAGGTCTAAAATTCTGAATTTTAGATATTGTGGTCCTCCTCATACTGGTGTTGAGGTAGAAAAATTTGTGTTAACTTATTGGGGAGTGGAACCTTCAGGGTAAAGCTTTTGCAATGATTGTTGATAATGCTCGATCCATGGATAGTATGGTTAAGCTTTTGAAAAAAGATTTAATGTTGACTTCTCCTCTTCCTTGTAATGGTAAATTTTTTCATATTCGATGTTCTGCTCATGTCTTGAACATTATTGTTCAAAGAGGTTTAAAAGAAGTTGATAATAGTGTTTAAAAATTGCGTGAGGTTTGTAAATATATTGATTCTTCAGACTCTAGACTCACTCAATTTGAGCATGCTCTTCATGAGGTTAATTGTGTGTTTAATGGAAAGTTACGTCTTGATGTTGTGACTCGTTGGAATGCCACCTGTACGATGCTCCGAAAAGCTTTAGAAGCAAATGAAGCCTTGAAATTGGTTATCGATAGGTTTATGGGTTATGAATTCAAACTTTCAGATGATGAATGGGATACCCTTGCTAAAATATGTCAATTCCTAAAGCCATTTCATGAAATCACTGTGTTATTCTCTGGTTCAGAATATCCTACTGCAAATTTGTATTTTGCTAGTGTTTTAAAAATTGAGCACACAATAAGTAAAGCCCATATAGACTCTAAACTTGCACCCATGGCAAAAGTTATGCTTGAAAAGTTTGAGGGCTATTGGGATGAATATAGTTTGATCCTTTCGATTGCTATTGTTCTTGATCCTCGCTATAAACTTGTTCGAGTGACGAAGATGTTAAAAGTGCTTTATGTTGATGAGGCATGTGCTGAAAAGGCGAAGGTGATTAAAGATGCTCTTTTGGAGTTGTATAACTTTTATTTTTGTATGTCTTCCGGTTTTAAATCAAGTACAATTGTTCCACCCTCCATCCCAATTGTTATCGATAAATCAAATAGTCACTTGGATGATGATATATTCAAGGTAATCAATTTCTTTTTATTGTGGCTTACAAATTTAATAATTGTATGTTTTAATTTTTATTATTTAATAAAAGCATTTTGTTTGAACTTTTCTAGTATGTTGATGATGATGATGACGAGGATGGCCCATCAAATTGGCCATCGATGGAGATTGATTCTTATTTGAATACTCCTCGGCAACCAATTCATGAAGGGCTAAATTATGATGTTCTCAAGTATTGGGAATCTCAGATTAGTGTGTACCCCATATTAGCTGTTATGGCTAGGGATGTTTTGGCTATTCCTATTACATCGGTTGCCTCTGAGTGTTCTTTTAGCATGGGTGGTTGTATTTTAAACAAATATAGGAGTGCACTTTTGCCTAAGAATGTTGAGGCGTTGGTTACCACACAAAATTGGTTACGTGGTTATGATTGTGATATTGAGGAAGACGTCCTTGAAATTGGTAAAGAAGTGATTGATGAAAGTTTTGCATCTAATTAAGAAGGTATGGATGTTGTATTGTAGTGATGCTTAATTTATATTGTGTTACTTAATTTTATTTATTTTTTTTTTTTTTTTTGAGAAAAGTGTTGTTTTGTGAATTGTTTTTAAAAAATGCATGCATTTATTTATGCTCAATGCATGTGGTCTGCTGCTTTCATCATGTGTAGTCTATAGCTTAAACACTGAATTGCTACTTACCTTAGAATGAATTGTTTTTAAAATGCATGAAATTTTAGTTTTTTTAAGCCATGTTCGTATTATTGTATTAGTCAGACTAAGGCGATACACTTAGAGCATTAGCTCAAAGTAGAACATCACAATTGGACAAACTGTATCATAGCTACATACCGGGTTAATGCAACTAGACAATTCAACTCTTACAAAATTCAGATTGCGGTGCAAACAACAGACTAACCTCCTTACTAAATAAAATTGCAGGGACTTGGAGATCTAGAAATGGAGCTGGTGATACCTTAGACAATGATGCAAGATCAAGGAATGAACTTCTATATAAGACCATTTTGCTTTCCCCTACCATTGTCTGTAGTAAAATTGTCCTTGAACAAAAACTTAGACTTCTACACTCTATGGATTAATGTATAAAATATACTATTGTGATAGGATTCTGTGAAGCTACGTACCTAATAAGTGAATAAATTATATGAGCTACGTACCTAATAATTGATTAAAAATATAAGAACAGTTAATCGAACATCAACTCATCAATTATTCTAGTTAAGGAGACTAATCTTTCCATAAGCTATAAAATGAGAATGATAAATAATGTTGAGTATAAAATCAAAATTACAAAATTTTTGTACATCACTAGCTCCAAATATTGACATCTATTGTATAATTATTTGTACATCAGTAGTTGTTCCTTTGAACCTTGTCTGATAGTCTTATGTGTTTTTTTCTTTAAATGTAAGGCATTTAAAACCATTTAACATTCTTGAACGATGGAAATCATAAATTCCATCTCTTTTCGAACTTAGGACATTATACTGAGGTCATAATAACGAGGGATGAATTGAGGAGATAATGACCTGCACTGACCCGCCCAATAACCACCCCTAGTAGGAAGTGGTTTGTAAACGGTTCGAATTATATGCGATTCGGTTCATAAACGGTTCGGTTTACAAGCGGTTCGGTTTATAAACGGTTCGGTGCAAACGGGTTGCAGTTTGTTAACGGTTCGGTGTAAACGGTTTTTATGCCAGTTTAAACGGTTTCGGGTTAGAAACAGTTCGGTTCATTTTCGGTTCGGTTTCCTTTTCAGTTCGGTTTAGATTTGGTTCGGTTCTTAATCGGTTTAACGTTTTCTCGGATCGGTTCGGTTTCGGTTTTACTAACACGCGGTTCGGGTCGGTTTTCGGTTTTAAAAAAATCGGTTTTTAATCGGTTCGGTTCTCATACGGATCGGTCGAAACAGTCCGGTTTCCCCGGTTCGGTTCGGTTTTTGACAGTGCTAAATATGGGTATATCTTTTTGAAACGCCCAAAATAATATATGAGACTAACAAATTGGAATGGAGGGAGTAGTTCAAATTACGTGTCGTGTTGGAAAAACGTACATAGCAATTCATTTTTTTTGGTGCTCACGCGGGGCTAAGCCCCATAAACTAAATTGCAATTCATTTAATAAACAAAAAATAGAACATAATAAAAGTGAAAGTAATCAAAGGAAGAAGAAACATAGTTATGGTTGGATGAGAGGTGAAAGAGTCACACTCCTAATATCCTCATTAAAGAGTTAGTCGAAGCTCCCTTCTACCATGCTAGTCCTATTTTGAGTCACTCTTTGTTTTGCAAGTGTATCTGTTAATTTATTTCCTTCACGAAATACATGAATCACTTCTCCCTCCCATTTCTATTTGCCTATCAAGTTGCCACCATGATTAACCAAGTGAGCGCACTCATCCCTTTTAGATGTATCTTTACATATGGCTTGTACAGTACAGAGTAACAAGACTATCAAGTTGGATCATGAGTTTGCTAATTCAAAGATCACATGCTAGTTCCAAACCTCTCACCAATGCCATTATCCATGCACAAAGGCTTTGCAACTAGCAAAATAGCAAGCTAAAAAGAAAAAAAAAACACAGTTTTTGATAATTTAAATCCTAAATCCTTGTCGTTTAAATACAAATCTCTTTTCACCATCGGTTAAAATAAATTCTTATTAGTTTTTTAATTGTGATTTTTTAAGATTACTTTAATTCAAGTTATCCTGGCTTGAGGACTCGATTAGCTCGAAATATGCAATACATTAGCAACAAAATTCAATTCAAATATCAGATTAGGTCCTGTACTCTTCACCTTAAAAAATAATATTAAGTAAAAATAAGTTCAGTTCAGTAAAATTAATTTCAGTTCAGTAAAAATAATTTCAGTTCAGTAAAAATAAGTTCAGTTCAGTAAATTTCAGTTTTCTTAAAGAAGAATTATAATAGAAAATTAGTAAAAATAATTCCAGTTCAGTAAAAATAATTTAAGTTCATCAGTTCAGTAAAATTAAGTTCAGTTCAGTAAAAATAATTTCATTTCAGCAAAATTAAGGTGAATCAAACAAGGCCTTAGAGTCGAATAATCACATAAAATTCTTCTCAAATTTCCAATGTAAGATTTTAAGGTGCACATAGCAAAATTCTAGCAACAAAAATCCTAAATTGACTTGAGACGCAAGAGGCAAATGACTAAACAGGCAATTAAATTAATGATGGTTTGAAATTAAGTAATTAAAAAGCTAAAATCTTGAGAAAAAAAACTCTCCCCTTTTCCTACAGTCTAGTCCCTTTTGTCTTTCTATTTGGAATTCTATTCCTCTATTGAAAAAAAAAAAAAAAAAAAAAAAGTCTAGCCCTCTAGCGTACTCTGAGTTTTCCATTGAAGCACCTACCACGCTTTATCTCCTCCAAGCTGCTTCTAAGGTACAATTTTAATTTTTTTTAATTATATTTGTATTAGTTTCGAATACCAGTATCACAATTTAGGGTTAGTTACTTAATTTCACACCATCATTAATTTAATTGCCTGTTTAGTCATTTGCCTCTTTCGTCTCAAGTCAATTTAGGGTTTCTCTAAGGTGAATTATTGAACTATTGGTTATGATTACCAAAATTATGAAAGATTGTAACGAGCAATTTTTTGTTGCTAGAATTTTCCTATGTGCACTTTACATTGGAAATTTGAGAAGAATTTTATGTGATTTTTCGACTCTAATCTGATATTTGAATTGAATTTTGTTGCTAATGTATAGCATATTTCGAGCCTAATCGAGTCCACAAGCCGGGCCATTGTAAGGCTGTTGGTGTCCCGGCTGAGCTCGGGTTTTAGGCTTGTTGAGTTAAGCATGCCTAAATTCTAATGATCTCGAGCCGAGCCTACACCTATTCAGGCTTGGTTTGACATTTTAGCATCCTTAATTAGCCCCTCTGAATAAGTTCGATAATTAACAAGACTTCAACACCATTAAACATCTTCAACCTTTCAGCCTAATATAGCAGGCATTTGTTTATAGCTCTATAATGTTAGGATGAAACTATGAATATAGGCTTTGTTTTCCTGGGTCAGGGAAGCTGTCCTTTCCGCCCTCGCTCAGGTATGGCTTGGGTTTGGTGTAGTATGAAGGTTTGTGGGAGACAATAGTTAAAGTTAATTGTTTTTATATAATCAATTCATAGTGTATGGTTTTCTTATTTAATTTCCCGAGTATTTGAAGAGATGGGTGTGAAAACAAACAAATATATTATGTGGAGGACCATTAGCGGACAGGGGAGAAAGAAAGAGCCAGGAAACGAGATATGAAACGCTAACTCATATCTTTGGTGTTTGTCTAACTAAGAATAGCTTTGATTTGATGCAGAGTGTCCATGGTCTCTTGGTTAGCAGTATAAGGATGGTGAACTCTTAAACTTCTGGGAACATCTCATGACTTTGGGTTTTTACTCTTCCTGGTAAAGTACCATAATCTTCTTCTTTATGACCTTCATTTTCTCACCTCTCGATTTTGACATTTTCGATGAAAATTATTTAGCTAGTAGGTTTTGTATTGGAGTGTCTTTGCACCGATGGCTGACATTGAAGCTATAATCACTGAATTTGTGATGGAATTTCTTTGCGTTGATGGCTAATATTGAAGTTATAATTACTGAATATATTTTATTAAGATGTTAAATTTAGCTAATTGGTTGATAGAATTGGTTCCGACATCATGTACATTGATTGCTGATTGGAGTTGCTCTCAAATTTTAATTTACTAAGAAAGTATATACCATATATTTTGTTTTGTAATTTTTTAATGTATGATCTTTCAGGAATTGCTTGAGAAATTTGACAAGCAGACTTCAGTTTTCTCAAAGGTGAACATGTTTTGTTTTAAATTAAATGATAATTAAATCCAAGCTTCATGTTTTGATTATCCTTTTTTATTAATTTATTAATCTGTGAACCCTATTCAATACTCGTATCTAATAGACAATTATCCATTATTTATTTATTTATTTTTAAATTGCAATATTGGTATCATTTAATTTTTATGTAGTTCGTCTGTTTTCAGAAGCTCTTATTTATTTATTTATTTATTTATTTATTTATTTATTTATTTATTCCTACTATTGTACACAAAGACAATAGGATGGTTGATGTGTTTAGTGGGTTTAATAAAAAGGTGGATTAAGTAGGAGAGAAAGTGTAAAAAGGTGGGTGGGTGTAAGAGATATATGGATGAAGAGAGTAAGTGAAAAGGTATAAATATTGTAGAGCAAGCGGTATAAGGTAGTAAAAAGGGTTTGCCAGTGTAAATTGAAAGTGTTAAGAACTTCCAGATTCGAACAGAAAATAGAAAGTGTTCAGAACTTTTTAAAATTATACTACGTACTAAAATTCGGAACAGAACAGAAATAGAAGAAACAGATTCTTCCCTTTTCAAGCCAAGTCTCACATTGTGTAGCATTTTCCCCTGTTTTGCTTCAAATTACGTACCTTGCATGGTGGTTATAGTTGACTTTTAAAATTATGGAGTTTGACCATTGTTTTCATTTGGTTCCATCTCATTCATTGAATCCTTCAAGTCAAATGATTTCAATGCATGATTATGTCCAGACTTGTGCATTGCATGGCTTGTTGATTTCTCACGTGCATTCTTGCATTGAAACCCTGAAGAGATTTTTTGAGGTTTGCGCAACATGTCATTGAAAGTCCTGCATGGGACTAACATGACAATTCTGTTACACTTTCAATTAAGCAATCTCTGTTTGTATGGATACAAACTTTGTAAAAGATTTAATGACGTTTGATTGGTTTCTAGTTATGCTACCTGGTGATTTCTAGTTAATTAAATTGGCCGTTGTAAACCGGTAAATCGGTGCAACTTGTAAACCGATAAATTGGCCGTTTAAAAGCAAATTGAATGGTTCCAAACACCCAATTGGACTCCCGAAAGGTATTAGGTACCATGGTAAACATTTCGTCAATTTTTATTTCCGGGCGAAAAAAGTGAAAAAAATTCAAAAATTGAATACTAATATCCACGCTTTTTGAGAAATTTTGGAGATTTCGAGGCCCGGTGTCGAAAAGTCTTGAAATTCAATGGGATACATCTCGTGGTCATATAATGCCGTTTGGAACCACATATGATCATTATTTGTTATCATAAAGGTTCGTGGTAGGCTTGAATTAATGAAATCAATGCAATTTGTAAACCGGTAAATTGGTCATTTAAAGGCAAATTGGATGGTTCCACCCAGCCAATTGGACTCCCAGAGAGTATTAGAGACCATGGTAAACATTTCAGCAATTTTTATTACCGGGCGAAAAAAATCAAAAAATTTCAAAACTGAATGCTAATATCCACGTTTTTTGAAAATTTTTGGAGGTTTTGGGGTCCGGTGTAGAAAAGTATTAATTTTTTAAGGGATACATCTCGGGGTCATATAATGCCGTTTGGAACCATATATGATCATTATATGTTGTCATAAATGTTCGTAGTAGGCTTGAATTAGTAAAATCCGTGCAACTTGTAAACTGGTAATTAAAATTGGTCGTTTTCGGAGGGTATTATGGACCATGGTAAATATTTTGACAATTTTTATTTCCAGGCGAAAAAAAGTCAAAAAATTCCAAAATTAAAGACTAAAATCCACGTTTTTTTAAATTTTTTTGGAGATTTCGAGGCGCGGTGACGAAAAGTCTTGAAATTTTAGGGGATACATATCGGGGTCATATAATACGGCTTGGAACCATATATGATCATTATTTGTTGTCATAAATGTTCGTGGTATGCTCGAGTTAATGAAATCGGTGCAAGTTGTAAACCGGTAAATTGGTCGTTTGAAGGCAAATTGGATGGTTCCAACCACCCAATGGTAGTCCCGAACGATATTAGGGACCATGGTAAACATTTCGGCAATTTTTATTTTATGGCAAAAAAGATTAAAAAATTTCAAAAATTAAAGGCTAATGTCCACGCTTTTTTTTGAGAAATTTAGGAGGTTTCGGGACCCGGTGTTGAAAAGTCTTGAAATTTTAGGGGATACATGTCAGGGTCATTTAATGCCTTTTGGAACCATATATGATCATTATTTGTTGTCATAAATGTTCGTGGTAGGCTTGAGTTAATGAAATCGGTGCAAGTTGTAAACCAATATATTGGTCGTTTAAATGCAAATTGGATGCAATTAGACTCCCGGGGGAGTATTAAGGACCATGGTAAACATTTCGGAAATTATTATTTATGTGCGAAAAAAGTCAAAAAATTTCCAAAATTAAAGGCTAATATCCATACTTTTTTGGAAATTTTGAAACTTTCGGGGCCCGGTGGCGAAAAGAAATGAGATTTTATGGGATACATTTCGGGGTCATATAAAGTCGTTTGGAACCATAAATGATCATTATATGTTCATAAATGATGGTGGTAGGCTTGAGTTAATGAAATCGATGCAAGTTGTAAACCGGTAAATTGGCCGTTTAAAGACAAATTGGATGGTTCTACCCAAACAATTGGACTCCTAGAGGGTATAAGGGACCGTGGTAAACATTTCGACAATTTTTATTTAGGGCAAAAGAAAGTAAAAAAATTCCAAAATTGAAGTCTAATATCCACAGTTTTTGATAAATTTTGGAGATTTCGGGGCCCAGTGTCGAAAAGATTTTAAATTTTAGGAGATACATCTCGGGGTCATATAATGCCATTTGGAACCATATATGATCATTATATGTTGTCATAAATGTTCATGGTAGGCTTGAATTGATAAAATTGATGCTGTTGTAAACCATTCAATTAGCCGTTTAAAGGCAAATTGGATGGTTCTACCCACCCAATTGGACACCCAGAGGTTATTAGAGACAATAGTTAACATTTCAGTAATTTTTATTTCTGTGCGAAAAAAAGTCAAAAAATTCCAAAATTGAAGGCTAATATCTATGCTTTTTTAGAAATTTGAAAGTTTCGGGGCCTAGTGTTGAAAAAGAAATGAGATTTTAGGAGATACATCTCGGAGGTCATATAATGCTGATTGGAACTATAAATGATCATTATATGTTGTCATAAATGTTCGTGGTAGGCTTGAGTTGATGAAATCGATGCAAGTTGTAAACCGGTAAATTGGTCGTTTAAAGGCAAATTGAATAGTTCTAACTAACCAATTGGACTCCCTGAAGGTATAAGAGACCATGGTAAACAATTCAGTAATTTTATTTCTGGGCAAAAAAATTTCAAAAAATTCAAAAATTAAAGACTAATATCCACATTTTTGAGAAATTTTGGAGGTTTCGGGACCCGGTGTCGAAAAGGGTTGGAATTTTAGGAGAAACATCTCGGGGCTGTATAATTCCATTTGGAACCTTAATGATCATTTTATGTTGTCTTAAATGTTCGTGGTAGGCCTAAATTAATGAAATCAGTGCAAGTTGTAAATCAGTAAATTGGTTGTTTAAAGGCAAATTGGATGGTTCCACCCACCCAATTGGACTCCCAGAGGGTATTCGGGACTATGAAAATCATTTCGGCAATTTTTATTACCGGGCAAAAATAAGTCAAAAAATTCATAAATAAAAGACTAATATCCACAGTTTTTAAGAAATTTTAGAGGTATTGGGGCCTTGTGTCGAAAAGACATGAGATTTAAGGAGATACATCTCGGGGTCATATACTGCCGTTTCGAACCATATATGATCATGAGATATTGTCACAAATGTTCGTGGCAGGCGTGAATAAGGAAATCGGTGCAAGTTGTAAATACGTAAAATGGACGTTTAAAGGCAAATGGGATAGTTCCAACCACCCAATTGGACTCTCCAAAAGGGTATTAGGGACAATGGTAAACATTTCGGCAATTTTTATTTCCTAGTAAAAAAAAGTAAAAAATTGAAGGCTAATATCCACGCTTTTTGAGAAATTTCGAAAGTTTCGTGGCCAGGTGTCGAAAACGCTTGAGATTTTAAGAGATACATCTTGGGGTCATATAATGTTGTTTAGAACCGTATATGATCATTATATGTTCGTGGTTAATGAAATCGATTCAAGTTGTAAACCGGTAAATTGGCCGTTTAAAGACAAATTTGATGGTTCTACCCAACCAATTGAACTCCCAGAGAGTATAAGAGACCATGACAAACATTTTGGTAATTTTTTATTTTCGGGCAAAAAAAAGTCAAAAAAATCCAAAATTGAAGGCTAATATCCGTAGTTTTTGAGAAATTTTGAAGGTTTTGGAACCCGGTGTCGAAAAGGCTTGTGCTTTTAAGAGATACATCTCGGGGTCATATAATGCCGTTTGGAACCATATGATCATTATATGTTTTCATAAATGTTCGTGGTAGGCTTGAATTAATGAAATCGGTGCAAGTTGTAAATCGTTAAATTGGTCATTTAAAGGAAAATTGGATGGTTCTACACACCCAATTGGACTCTCAGAGGGTATTAGGGACCATGGCAAACATTTCGGCAATTTTTATTTCTAGCGAAAAAAAGTTTAAAATTTCAAAATATCCACGCTTTTTGAGAAATTTTGAAGGTTTCGGGGCCCGGTTTCGAAAAGGCTTGAGATTTTAGAAGATACATCTCGGGGTCATATAATCCAGTTTGGAACAATATATGATAGTTATTTTCAGTGGCGGACCCAGGAATTTCCTACTGGTGAGTCACAATCGATAACCAAATATGTAAAAAAAAATTTTACCAAAATTTCTAAGAAAAATTATTTACAAAGATCATCCAAATAGAAAATTGACAAGATTACAATACTAACTTATAATTAACAAGCTTAAAATTGACCTAAAATAATAATCACAATAATTAACAAACTAATTTATTTATTTAATTTTTTTTTTAAGAAACTTAATAATTTTTTTGGGCCCTGGCGCCAAGCACAAATGCAGGTCCGCCGCTGGTTATTTTTTGTCATAAATGTTCGTGGTAGGCTTGAATTAATGAAATCAATGCAAGTTGTAAATTGTTAAATTGGCCGTTGAAAGACAAATTTGATGGTTTTACCCACCCAATTGGACTCCCAGAGGGTATTAGGGACTAGGGACCATAGCAAACATTTCGGTAATATCTATTTGCGGGCCAAAAAAAGTCCAAAAATTAAAGGATAAGGGCTTGTTCTCATATGTTTATATTCAGTTCAGCTCAGTTCAGTTATGTTCAGCTCCTAATTTCCTTCTCTTATAAAATATTCATTTCAGTTTAGTTCAGTTCCTAATTTCCTTCTGTGATAAAATATTCATTTCAGTTCAGTTCAACTCAGCTCAGTTCAATTAAGTTCAAATTAATTTAGTTTAGTTTAGTTCAGTTCAGCAAAGTTCAATCTATGAGAACAGACCCTAATTTCCACATTTTTGAGAAATTTTGAAGGTTCGGTGCCCGGTGTTGAAAAAACTTGAGATTTTAGGAGATTCATCTCGGGTTCATTTAATGCCGTTTGGAACCATATAAGATCATTATATTTTGTCACAGATGTTCGTTGTAGGCTTGAATTAACGAAATCGGTGCAGGTGTAAATCGGTAAATTGGACGTTTAAAGGCAAAATTGAAAGTTCCACCCACCTAATTGGACTCTCCGAGGGTATTAGGGACAATGGTAAACATTTCGACAGATTTTATTTTCGGGCAAAAAAATAGTCAAAAAATTCCAAAATTGAAAACTAATATGCACGCTTTTTGAGAAATTTTGGAGGTTTAGGGCCTAGTGTAGAAAAGACTTGAGCTTTTAAGGGATACATCTCGGACTCATATAATGCCATTTGGAACCATATATGATCATTACAAGTAGTAAATCGGTAAATTGGCCGTTTAAAGGCAAATTTGATGGTTCCATCCACCCAGTTAGACTCCCAGAGGGTATTAGGGACCATGGCGAAAATTTCAACAATTTTTATTTGCGGGCGAAAAAAAGTCAAAAATTCCAAAATTGAAGGCTAATAACCACGCTTTTTGAGAAATTTTGGAGGTTTCGGGTCTCGGTGTCGATAAAGCTTGAGATTTTAGGGGATACATCTCAGAGTCATATAATGCCGTTTGGAACCATATATGATCTTTATATGTCGTCATAAATGTTCGTGGTAGGCTTGAATTAATGAAATTGGTGCCAGTTGTAAATCAGTAAATTGGCCGTTTATAGGCAAATTGGATGGTTCCACCCACCATGTTGGACTCCCAAAGGATATTAGGGACTATGACAAATATTTTTCCAATTTTTATTTGTGGGCGAATAAAAGTCAAAAAATTCCAAAATTGAAGGTTTCGGGTTGAGAAATATCCACGTTTTTTGAGAAATTTTGGAGGTTTCGGGTCCCGGTGTCGAAAAGGCTTGAGATTTCAGGGAATACGTCTTGGAGAGTCATATAATGCCGTTTGGAACCATATATGATCATTATATGTTGTCATAAATGTTCGTGGTAGGCTCGAATTAATGAAATCAGTGCAAGTTGTAAATCGGTAAATTGGTCGTTTAAAGGCAAATTGGATGATTCCACCCACCCAATTGGACTCCCAAAGGGCATTTGGGACCATGGAAAACATTTTGGCAACTTTTATTTCCAGGCAAAAAAAAGTATAAATTTTCAAAATTGAAGGCGATTTTTGAGAAATTTTGGAGGTTTGGAGGCCCATTGTCGAAAAGGCTTGAGATTTTAGGAGATACATCTCGAAGTCATATAATGCCGATTGGAACCATATATGATCATTATATGTTGTCATAAATGTTCGTGGCAGGTTTGAATTAATGAAATCGGTATAAGTTGTAAATCGGTAAATTGGTCGTTTAAAGACAAATTGGATGTTTACACCCACCCAATTGGACTCTCGGAGGGTATTAGGGATCATGTTTAACATTTCGGCAAACTTTATTTCTGAACTAAAGAAAGTCAAAAAATTCCAAAATGAAGGCTAATATCCGAGTTTTTCAAGATATTTTGAAGGTTTCGGGGTCTGGTGTTGAAAAGGCTTGAGATTTTAGGGCACACATCTCGGAGTCATATAATTTTGTTCGCAACCATATATGATCAATATATGTTGTCTTAAATGTTCGTTGTAGACTTGAATTAATTAAATCAATGCAAGTTGTAAAATAGTAAATTGGTCGTTTAAAGGCAAATTGGATGGTTCCACTCTCCTAATTAGACTTTTAGAGGATATTAGGGACCCTGGAAAATATTTCGGCAATTTTCCTTTCCAGGAATAAAACGTCAAAGAATTCCAAAATTGAAGGCTAATATCACTAGTAGAAAAACTTTCATTTGCGTCACTCGTAGAAACAAGCGAAGCAAATGATATATTTTAGCTTCATTATAAGTTATTTGCGTCGCACATTAACTATGAAGCGACACAAAAGCCTGGTATGCTTGAGCTTTATGTTATTTGCGTCGCGTTTATTTATTAGAACGACACAAATAACAGTCTTATTTGCGTTACTCCTTTTGGAACAAGTGACGCAAATGAGTTTGAGAGTTATTTGCATCACTTCTTTAATTAATGAGCGACACAAATAGTTTATTCACTTCATTACATTTAAGTTATTTGCGTCACTTTTTTAATGAATGAGCGACGCAAATAAATCCAGGTTAGTAATAAATTCTAATTTTTCCACTCATCTCGCCATTTGCTGCTGCCTCCAAATTCAATATACCCACAAAAAAATACTCTTGCTAACCCATTTGTTGTTGCCTTCAACAATTGAATTCAACAACACAATTCTTTCAAACCAAAACCCAGAAAAATCGAAAGATTCAAGCCAAAAATCTCTTATTTTCGAGCACAAAATCAAACCAAAACCCCTAGCAAAATCGAACACTAAAACCCCCATAAAAATCTAGCAAAAAACCCCCCAATTCGAGTAGAAGTTTGGTGTATAAACCCCCAGCAAATTCGAATGTAAACCTTTGAATAATCGAAAAATTTCCAGCCAAAAACCCCCCAAGTCGAGCAAAAATTCCGACCTAAACTCCCAACAATTTCGAACCCTGAAAACCCAGAAAAATCGAACATTTCGAGCAAAAAACCCCCAATTAGAGCAGAAATTCGAACCTAATACCCCAAGAAATTCGAACCCTAAAAACCCAGAAAAATCAAACATTTTTTGGCCAAAAACCGCCCAATTTGAGCAGAAATTCGTACCTTAACCCCAGCAAATTCGTACCCTAAAAACCCTAGAAAAATTAAACATTTTGGAGCCAAAAACCCCCCAATTATTCGAGCAGAAATTCAAACCTCAACCCCAAGCAGTAAAATGCCTCAATTCGAGCTCAAAATGCCCCAATTCGAGCTCAAAATCAGTGCTAAACACCCCAGAAAATTCAAGCAAAACCCCCTAAAAACTTATTATATTTTACCCCCATAAACCCTAGAAATTTCGACCTAATTAGAGGAAAAAATCCGTGAAGTTCGACCCATTGTAGCAGCTAATTTGTGAAGTCAATTTCACTCAAGTAAGATTGGTTCTTGTTGTTATGTTAAATATTTTCATGGTAGATAAATTTCAGCATTTAACTTGAACAATACTTAGTTTAATTGCAAAAATTGTGTTAGTTCATTAGAAAATAATTTTTAGCTTGTTTGGCTTTTGTTGGTTTAATTAATATATGTAAATTTATGTCAGATTTCTCAACTATGTGGAAGTGAATTCCTCAAGTTCCACGAGTTTGTGATTGGGTACAAACAATTGAGGCGGTAGTACACATACGACATTGTCTTCGCTTGTGGTATATACTCTAACCATTCTCTGTAGTTTTAACTTATTTTTTGTGGTTGGTATAATGATTGTGAATCTTATTGGATTTCTAATTGTGATATAATTGATTGAAATTGCAATAATATTTGCATCATAGTGCATGACCCAAGGTTTAGTGACTTGTTATTTTAGGAACCGGGCAATGGATTATGCCATAGTACCATTAATTAGAATGTGTTGGGTCACTTAGGTGTAGAGAGAATTTTATTTAGGGGCAAAGTTGTCGTGTTATACGATGGCATATTTCAATAGAGTGCTCATATTGTGCTGCATCAGGTATGAATTTATGATAGTAAAGATGCAACATTTCTGCAGTATGATAGTATAAGTTTTGAAGGCGGCCGACCAACACTATAAGTTGCATTAGGTATGAATGTATGATAGTAAAGATGCAGCATATTTGCAATACTTAATTGACTGTCTATGATTGTTAATTGTATTTAGGCCCTTGCAAGTTGCAACTATGTTTCCATTCATGAATCCTGATTGTATCCTCGGATTTGAGGTGAGTTGAATTTAGCTATTTGCTGGGCATTAGGATCCTCTTTCTCCTGTTGTTTTATGTATAAATAAATATTGGATTCTTATAATTAATAACTTGTCTTTACAGGGAGGATGATATGCTTAAGAAGCTTGGAGACCTTATGAATGAGAGTCATTATAGTTGCAGTGTTCTCTATGAATGCAGGTATAAAAGCTTCAGCCACTAGTATTGCTAAATTGAGTTCAATATGCTTATTTGATGCACTACTACATTTTTGATTAAATGCAACGGTAAAAAAATAGCTAATATATATGCTGTTGGCAGGGGGATAATTTAGCTAAGAACTAGTGAATTTCTTTTTTATTGCTACATTTTAATGTATGTTCTGACTTTTGGGATTAATTAAGTGGGCTGCTGGGTATTTCAATCACTTGTACGTTGGTTTCTTTAGTTCTTTGTATTTTAATAATCACCATCATAACAATAAAAATTCTTTGAAAAAGAGGAAATAACATTATAATTAACAATAAAATCTAAATCATACTTCATTATGAATTGTGCCAAGCAATTTAAATTTTAAGAAAGAAATAAAAATAGAGAAAGTATAATTTAAGAAGTTTAAAAGCCCAAAGAGAAAGAAAGAGATAACTCCTAATCCAAAGAGAATGAAATAAAAATAGAGAAAGTACAATTTAAGTTTTGCAATTGCTTGTCACCTGAATTATTTCTTGTTCTCACAAAGTGTAATTTGAATCTTGTATTTGTTTGAAATACTTCAAAATCATCATAGCAATGAGTATTTTATTACGGTACAAGTTGTCAAATATTTCATTTTTACTTGATAAATACAATTTGAAGTACCTACACTTGAATTACACCTTTGCTCATCTATTTGTGTTGTGCTAATAGGATTTTTCAAGATCTACACCGTATACAAAGGAGGAGATAAACGAGGTTCGAGATATTTGGGCAGACTATTTTATATGTTGTGTTGAACTTTAGATCTACACTTAGCAAACTCCATTTACTTGTTAGACTCTTGTTTTATTTGTTAGGCTTGACATGAATGTATTTGGTTTACCAACAATTTGGGTTGGTATTGGTGATTGTGTTGGATGATGACCATAATGTTAATGATATTGAGTTGTAAACTTATTGGACAGGTTTATAATATGCCGCCGTCATTCCCAATTTTATGGGTAGGCCAAAATACAAAGGGAACTCTGCCGAAATTTACATTTGAATTCATTAATATTGCATTTTAATTTCAATTATTGGCGTTAGCATATTACGTTATACCACTACCAAGGGAAACAGGTACTACAAACATATACAAGCAATTATTATAATTTAAAAAAAAATAAAATTCACATCATTTGCGTCACTCATTAAACAAACAAGTGACGCAAATAACTCACTTTTGTATTGTCCAGTAAGTCATTTGCGTCACTCCTATATAAACAAGTGACGCAAATTAAAAAATAGAAGTTGCTCAGAACAGCTATTTGCGTCACTTGTTTATATAGGAGTGACACAAATAACTCTTATTTGCGTTGGCCTAGGAGCGACGCAAATGGCTTAAATGAGGTCATTTGCGTCGCGAGCACTTGCGTCGCTCATAGAAGCGACGCAAATACACTATAAATGAGCGACGCAAATGAGCCTTTTTCTACTAGTATATCCACTATTTTTGAGAAATTTTGGAGGTTTCGGGGCCTGGTGTCGAAAAGGCTTAAGATTTTAGGAGATACAATTCAAGGTCATATAATGTTGTTTGGAACAATATATGATCATTATATGTTCTCATAAATGTTCGTGGTATGCTTGAATTAATGAAATCGGTGCCTGTTGTAAATCGATAAATTGGTCATTTAAAGGCAAATTGGATGGTTCTACGCAACCATATGGACTCACATGAGATAGAAGGGACCATGGTTAACATTTTGGCAAATTTTATTTCCGAGCAAAAAAAAGTCAAAAAATTCCAAATTAGAAGGCTAATATCCACGCTTTTTGAGAAATTTTGGAGGTTTCGAGGCTTGGTGTTGAAAAGACTTGAGATTTTATGAGATATATCTCGGAGTCATATAATGCCGTTTGGAACCATATATGATCATTACATGTTGTCATAAATGTTCGTGGTAGTCATGAATTAATGAAATTGGTGAAAGTTGTAAATCGGTAAATTGGCCGTTTAAAGGAAAATTTGATGGTTCCATCCACCTAATTGGACTCATAGAGGGTATTAGGAACCACGACAAACATTTCGGCAATTTTTATTTCTGGGCAAAAAATGTTTAAGAAATTCCAAAATTGAAGGCCAATATCCACGCATTTTGAGAAATTTTGGAGGTTTAGGGGCCCGGTGTCGAAAAGGCTTGAGATTTTAGGGGATACATCTCGGAGTCATATAATGCCGTTTGGAACCATATATGATCATTTCATGTTGTCATAAATGTTCGTCGTAGACTTGAATTAATGAAATCGGTGCAAGTTGTAAATCGGTAAGTTGACCGTTTAAAGGCAAATTGGATGGTTTCACCCACCCAATTTGACTCCAAGAGGGTATTAGGGATCATGGCAAACATTTCGCCAATTTTTTTTTCCGGGCGAAAAAAGTCAAAAAATCCAAAATTGAAGGCTAATATTCACGCTTTTTGAGAAATTTTGGAGGTTTCGGGGCCAGGTGTTGAAAAGGCTTGAGATTTTAGGGGATACAACTCGGGGTCATATAATGCCGTTTGGAACCATATATGATCATTATATATTGTCATAAATGTTCGTGGATAGCTTGAATTAATGAAATCGGTGCAAGTTGTAAGTCAGTAAATTGGTCGTTTAAAGGCAAATTGGATGGTTCCACCTACCCAATTGGACTCCCAGAGGGTATTAGGGACCATGGAAAATATTTCGGCAATTTTTATTTCAAGGGGAAAAAAAAATTCCAAAATTAATCCATAGTTTTTGAGAAATTTTGGAGGTTTCGGGACCCGGTGTCGAAAGGGCTTGAGATTTTAGGAGATACATTTCAGGGTCATATAATGTCGTTTGGAAAAATATATGATCATTATATTTTCTCATAAATGTTCGTGGTAGACTTGAATTAATGAAATCGGTGCATGTTGTAAATCGGTACATTGGCTGTTTAAAGGCAAATTGGATGGTTCTATGCAACCAATTGGACTCTCAGAGGATATAAGAGACCATGGTAAATATTTCGGAAATTTTTATTTCCGGACAAAAAAAAAGTCTAAAAATTCCAAAATTGAAGGCTAATGTCCACAGTTTATTAGAAATTTTAGAAGTTTCGGGGCCTGGTGTCGAAAAGGTTTAAGATTTTTGGAGATACATTTCGGGGTCATATAATGTCGTTTGGAACCATATATGATCATTATATATTGTTATAAAAGTTCATGGTAGGTCTGAATTAATGAAATCAGTGCAAGTTGCAAATCGGTAAATTGGCCGTTTAAGGAGAAATTTGATGGTTCCACCCACCCAATTGGACTCCTAGAGGGTATTTGGGGTCATGGTAAACAACTCGACAATTTTTATTCCGGTTGAAAAAATTTCAAAAAATTCCAAAATTGAAGGCTGATATCCACGCTTTTTGAGAAATTTTGGAGATTTTGGGGTCCGGTGTCGATAAGGCTTGAGATTTTAGGGGATACGTCTCAAAGTCATATTATGCCGTTGGAACCATATATGATCATTATATGTTGTCATGAATGTTCATGGTAGGCTTTAATTAATGAAATCGGTGCAAGTTGTAAATCGGTAAATTGGCCGTGTAAAGGCAAATTGGATGGTTCCGCCCACCCAGTTGAACTCCTAGAGGGTATTAAGGACCATGACAAATATTTCAGCAATTTTTATTTCCGGTAAAAAAAAAAAGTCAAAAAATTCCAAAATTGAAGGCTAATATCCACACTTTTTGAGAAATTTTGGAGGTTTCGGGGTCTGGTGTCGAAAATGTTTGAAATTTTAGGAGATTCATCTCGGGGTAATATAGTTCCTTTTAAAACCATATATGATCATTATATGTTGTCATAAATGTTCGTGGTAGACTTGAATTAATGAAATTGGTGCAAGATGTAAATCGGTAAATTGGCTGTTTAAGGGCAAATTTAATGTTTCCACCCACCCAATTGGACTCGCAGAGAGTATTAGGGACTATGGTAAACATTTCGGTAATTTTTATTTTCGGGCGAAAAAAGTCAAAAAATTCAAAAATTAAAGGCTAATATTCACGCTTTTTAAGAAATTTCGAATGTTTTGGGGCTTGGTGTTGAAAAGCATTGAGATTTTAGGGGATGCATCCTGGGGTCATATAATGCCGTTTGGAACCATATATGATCATCATATGTTGTCGTAAATGTTCGTGGTAAGCTTGAATTAATGAAATCGGTGCAAATTGTAAATCGGTAAATGGGACATTTAAAGGCAAATTGGTGGTTCTACCCAGCCAATTGGACTCCCTGAGGGTTTTATGGACCATGGTAAACATTTTGTCAATTTCTATTTCTAGGTGAAAAAAAGCAAAAAATTCCAAAATTAAAGGCTAATAGCCACGCTTTTTAAGAATTTTGGAGGTTTCGGGTATAGCTGTTAATTCGGGTAAGCGTGTCGGGTTTGAGTCGGTAAGAGTGGGTCGGGTCAATTAGGATTAATTTCATGACCTATGCGGGTCGGGTTTGGGTTGGGTCATGCTTGAGTCGGGTCACGTCGGGTTGCATTCGGGTCAGGTGAACAATAGGTCGGGTTTAATTCGGGTTTTTACGGATTAAGACGAGTTAGGGAAATTTTCGGGTTCGTGTTGGGTTTGGTTCAAGTCAATAATTTGCGGTTAGAGTCAGGTCGGGTCATTCTCGGGTTTGTGTCGAGTCTGGTTCAAGTCAATAATTTGCGTGTTATAATCAGGTCGGGTCATTTTCAAGTCAGATCATTCTCGGGTTCAAGTCGGGTTCTGTTCAAGTCAATAATTTGCTGGTTATAATCAGGTTGGGTCATTTCCGAGTCGGGTAATTTTCGGAGTCAAGTCGGGGTATGTTCAATTCAATAATTTGCAGGTTACAATGTCATTTCCAAGTCAGGTCATATTCGGGTTCAATTAAATATAAATAGATAATTATCATTTTTATCAAGCTAATTATTTCATTTGATTATAATATATATGGTAATATACTAGGGAACTATAATTTATAATTTAGGAAGATAATTATCTCCTTTGACCATGCAACAAATATATACTATATTTAACTCTTAAATTTGAGGATGATGCTCCTTTCTTTTGCTGGCCTAGAACGAATTGGTTTCCCAAGACAAAATGCTTTGATCAACAATAATAAGGTGGTCTAAATTGTATTTAAGGTGATTTGAAATCGGGTCATGAACAATTTGAGTTGAATTTAGGTCGGGTCAATAACAAGTCGTGTTGATTTCGAGTCGGGTTAGTAACAGATCGGGTTGAATTTTTATGTCGGGCTAGTAATAGGTCAAGTAAAATTCGGGTCGGGTCAATAAAAAGTCGGGTTGAATTTGGGTCAGGTCAATAACAAGTCGGGTTGATTTCGGGTCGGGTTTGTAACAGTTTGGGTTAAATTCGGGTCGGATTAGGAATGAGTCGGGTTGAATTCAGGTCAGGTTAGTAATAAGTCGGGTTAAATTCGGGTTTTGACGGGTTAACACGGGTTTGGGTCAATTTCGGTTCAAGTCGGGTTCGGTTCAGGTCAATAATTTACGGGTTACATTCGGGTCGGGTCATCTCTAGGCCAGTTCATGTTCGAGTTTGGGTCTCACATACTCGGGTCAACTCGGGTCTAGGATTGGTTTCAGGTCGGGTTTGGGTCACCATTTTTTCGGGTTCACATAGCTCGGTTAATAATCGGGTTTGAGTCGGTATTTCAGATCGGGTCAACTTTTGACAACTCTAGTTTCAATGATGTCACTGAGTATTCTTTAAGTGTCCCAGCACATTTCAAGCTCAAGGTGCTGCAGTCTAATTAGTAAAAATAGTACTCCTATAGTATAAGTTCAATCGCATGGTTCTAAAGGTTTCACTATTAAATTTATGTTAATATACTGAGTATTCTTTGTATATCATAAAGTATTACTCGTAATAGTAACAGATTAAGTTTGCCCTACTCTTATGCCCATATATTCTTCTGGCCTTTTGATTTTTGGAAAATATTTAGATGAGAATTATCTTGTTAATATAATGCCACAATACGCATAAACGCTAGTCTTTTCATTATATTTAGGATTTTAGGCTATAGAGTGGCCCTCTTAAAGCTATCTTATTAGCTTATCATAATGTAAATTTATTTATCAAGCTCTCACCTTCCCACTACCAAGTAGAGTAGATAGTATTTATTCATCAAGGGAAGAGGAGGATGGTTAGACAGTTTTTTCAGTTTATTTAGAAAAATTACTTCTGAATTGCTAATCAGTACATAGACCATTAAATAAATAATTTCCGCACTTTGATTAATAAATATTGAATGTATGGATTTGTAAAACATTTGATAACACAACAAAAAGTGATTTTGAATCAACGTATCCTACACCAAACTAGCACTACACAACATCAGGTGTATACTCTGTTGAAGCACCCTTTCTATTAATATGCATCAAGCACCTAAAAAGGCTGAAGCCCTTGCAATGTTAATGGAACGATTTCAGGTGGAAAACTTGGCAGCTTGGCTTGTATGACTCTTTGATGCTAGCTTGATCAAACTTTTTGGCAGCAGCTTCGTTTACCTCCAATCCAATCTGAACAAAAAACCTCCCCCACCATGACTGACTGCGCATTTTAGCCTACAGGAAGAATCATCAGAAACAAAATGTCATTTCACTTCAGGTTTCCCAGATATTAAACATTGAAAATTAGCATATTAGACCAAACACCTAAGTCAGGATGATCTGATCTCATAAATAGACAATTCACCCAACATCAAAGGATTTTCTTTTTTATTTTTTGAAAAAAGATTAGTCAAGAAAACCTCATAATGCCCCTATCGGCCCTATGTTTGTCAAGGATATATTTTACGCTGAGATGGATCTACCATCTCTATCTTTTAATCCACCTTTCATTTCAGGCCAAGCTGGTAATCTCTTTTGCTTCCCTCCTTTTTTCCCTAGGAATCCAATGATGAGAAATAGCCAATTCAAGGGATGGAAACATTTGAAATTATATTTACTAAGCCAAACTTTCAGAAGAGGGTAACAAGTAATGAGATCCATTTCAAATTATATTGTATGTTAAAATTAACAATATAGCGAATGAAGGAGAGTCTTTGTGGATAAAAACATAAGATAGACTACCGGTTCATGTAGCTGACCCAATCTCTCTTTAGGGATAAGGCTATGGCTTTGTTGTTGCTAACAATTACAACTAGGCAGATCAAATTCTGAAATAAACCATAATTGGGCATTGGATAAGAGTAACTAAGAACTCACCGGGCGTCCGAATTTGGACAACTCTGTAACTCTGGCTCTCTGCTGACCAGGAAAACCTACAATTAAATGTATATAACCGATTAGATAGGTAACTAAACAAAAGTTTGACAGCTAAGCAAAGTGGCCTTTCAAGCAGCAGCATCAAGGGATCTACAGAAGTTTATTAGAATTCATCTCAAAGCTTGCATTAAAGGCGGCCCACATGTATGAAACCATGAAGATATTTAACGAAGGCACAATCTTTCAAATGAGTTGCTGCAATGCTTTTAGAAGTAATATTGAACAAGGAGTTTAAAAAAAAAAAAGATATTGACATACCAGTGAATATCACTATGCTATCAGAAGCCACTCTTGCTAATTCTGGAAGAGTTTTGTTCAGATACTTTGGTGAGAGGTAATCTAACGCATCTGAGACAATAACCAATGAAAATGATTGTGATCTGTATGGCAATGGGAATTTGATATCAGCAACACGCACAATGCCCTTTCGCACAAGACTTTTGCAGTTTGAATCAGCATCCTCTAGGTCATATGGTTCCACACCCCATGCCTCAGTATCCTCTTCTTTTAACAGCTTAGAGACCACGGAACAAGTATCAGGCCCAACATGCAAAACCTTGTGCATGCCATCACTGTAAGCTTTCTTCAGAAGAGGTATTGCCTTCTGAAGTTCTTGTGTTCCAGAAAACTCGCCTGCATAAGAGGTGAACAATAAAAGTTACATCAATCAGAGCAAAGGCTAAAATTGGAAAGTAGGAAGAGTAACCAGACTACTAGAGGTGAACAATTTTTGCAAAAACAAACAGAAAGATGTCTAGTTGCTAACTAATGGGCTGCAGTGCAGACTAAGTGTTGCTGAACTACTTTTCCAAGCAAAACCTCTAGAAAGGTATATTTGAACCACTGACCAGAAGCTTCCATACAAAGAGGCTAAGTTTTCTGCTATACAGTAAGTAGGTTTTGATTTAAAAGAGCTACAAAACTGAGAAATTCAATTAGCTTGCTATCTAAAAGAAAAAAAGGAGTGGAAACCTATTTGCATCAAAGAACTTAGCATAATTTTGGTTTTGACAGACAGCCTGCTGATACAATTTATGTCAATCAAGAGAAAGATTACATCGCTTCTTTTCCTTAATATACACAGAAGAAAAGCAAACAAAGCATACAAAATATTAAACTGAATCAGGCATGAGACATGAAACAAAGAAACGGACAGAAGATGTGTGCTAGGAAATCAATCATAAATTTGAAATGAGCAAGTGTATCTACCTTCAATTCTGCTAACAATGTCTTTTTTACCTGCAAGATACAAACAACCAATTCAATACGTGATCACAAAATAATCCTTAGGGGAAGGGGGAACCAGGTAAGGGTTAAAAATGGACATCAAATGCTTAAGGAGCCACTGTATAAGCAAATAGAAAAAAGATGGAAAGGAGACATGAAATTTCCATTAAAACAAGAAACAAAAATGTGGTTTCTTTAAGAAATCAGTTAGGACACTGCATCTGCACAGAAGTGGAGGTCCAACAGTATGAGTGAAAATGCAACCCTTTGATGTCCTTGTTCAATTAGCAGAGTTTCAATATTCTAATATACAGCTCAAAGAGTAGTAAAATTGTTTATGGAACATATCTAATCCACCAAAATACTAAAAGACGGGAAGAATTGCAGCTTTTCTATAAAGATATATGAAATCTAGAAAGGATTAACGACAACCAGATATTCCGTTCAATATGATCATATTATAACATCATAGGCATATAAGGAAACAGAAATGAAATAATTAGAGAAGAATGCAAGACCCACCTGAGCCACTGTATAGATACCCAACAATAAGGAATACACCCTGCAAACAAAAAAAATGATAGGGTTAGAAGCAAAATCTTTAAGTAGACATATCATGTATCAATATACCTAGACAAATGGACAGGATACATGGTATCAGATGATTACGATTCAATTATAAACGACGTAAAAACATTGATCTGGTGAAGATACAGTCATTTAATGAAGCAACTGCTAGAATGCTAAAGACGTACCAGTGCCACAAGGGTAACCGAAACCAAGGGAGATGAGCGTGTCTTTGATGGGAACGCTCCTGCTAGCGGAAACCCTCCATTGCCCACCAAACGGCGAGTAGGATTTACAGGTCTCCTTGACATGACTTCTTTCTGTTTACAGTAAATATATATATTCCAATGTATGTAGATGATACAAGTTTACCTGAGATTAAAGATAAATGAAAAACACAACATGAGTTGAGCTACAAATCAAGTTAATCACATCTAGGAGTGAACCATCTCATGAAGAATCACACTGTCTAAATACATTCATAACAAAAACAAGATCTTATATTAAAAGGCGAATTGTATATAACTCAAACAATTATAAAATCAGAAAAATTAACATAAACACATCAATGCATAGATAAATCAAGATATTATTCTACCAAACACAAAAATTAAATCTAACATTATCAATACTATTCATCATATAAATGTGCAAAACATTTCTTAGTATAATATTTGTAAATTGCAATTCCAGAGCAATCATCAATCAAGCATAGCATCACAGATCTTACCAACGAAGAAAATCAAATTATTATCTAGATTCGCCCTTGACTAAAAACCATATAAAAAAATGTAACAATTAATAAATAAATGAACATATGTTGAAGCAATACAGATCCATAAAAATTAAAAAAATAAAAATAAAAATAAAAAAAATCAATTCCGCAAAAAACGAAGAACCCAGTTTAACAAATTACTAATCACAACTACTAAAAGATATAGAAATTACAAGAAATGGGGTTTGAGATTACCACATTAACCAATTGAATAGTTTGATGCACTTATGAATCAGATCCACTTAAACAAAAAAAAAATATATATCTTGCAAGTATAAATTATGTGGGTATTTGATATAGAATCTAGAATTTGATTCGGGTATGTTAGAAATTGCTAAAAAAGTATGAGAGTGAAGATAGTGTTGCTCAAAGAGGAGAGAGAAAAAGAGGAAAAGAGGGATAAACAGAGTGATAGAGCGCGTTTATTGTATGAAAGGTGGAAAGAGAAGAGAAGAGAAGAAGAGAGTGAAGATCTTATAATACGCGGTGGGGCGCAGAATAAGCCATTGTTAAAGGGTTGTCATTTTTATTTAATTTTTAAAGATTGCAACTTTATTTATCACTCTCACACTCACTGCTGCCCACTTGCTATTGCTGTGCTGCTGCTTTCAAGTGCTGTGTGTTAAGAAGTGTCGGCGTTGCTGCAATTACTTGTATTTTAAGGGGTACTTTTGTCCTTGTTTCTTCGATCTTATTCAGACATTTTACATTTGTTAAAGCAATGTATGTACAAGGTGTCCTAGGAGAAGAGGTTTTTAGTACTTTTATATAGTGATTTTTGTGTAGATCTCGAAAGGGATTAAACTATGTAACAGCCAAACAGCCCATATGTTGTTAATAACTGCCTATTATGGAAGCTTGCAGCTTTTAACTACTACTATAACAAAATTTTGAAATACGGAGTGGATGTATCGCCTATTCGCCTTCATTATGAGGACTTAATGAACATATTTATTAGCTTATAATGGTTTCAAACCAGCTTTATGACTTACGTAAACACTTAACACCCATAATATTTACTTTAAATTTGGAAAAAAAAATTCCAAAATTAGTTTGAAAATGTGGATGTGGTGCTTCCCATGGAACCTATGAGACATTAAGAGGACCATTTAGGTTCTAGGGCAACTTTAGGGGATAGAAATTGTTGAGTAGCTCACCTTTGAGAGTTTCAAAATACTCTTGTGATAGAACCAAACTCAAATTTAAGACTTTATAAATAGATCGGTATGCTTATTATGGTTTAATCTAACTTTTGTGACCTAGGGAACACCTCTTACATCTACTTCAATTTTCTAATAATTTTCAAAATTGGATTTAAAGCATGAATTGAAGCCTTTAATTTTAAAAATATTTTAAATAGTATAATATTAAAAATCAACATTTTAATGAATTTGGGAATAACCAACAATATAAAAGAAGATGATTGAGTCCATATTGGTTATTATTGGAACCATCTTTTTTACTACCAATAATAATGTAACATAATTTCAAAATAACAACACAACTAAATCAAACAAAACTCATAATTGGGACTTTATAGACATTTTTATAGGTGTCTTATGATTTTAAAACAACTTATATGACCCCAAGGGTCACCCCCATGCATATAATTCATTTTTTTTAAAAAAAAATAATCCAAAATTGACCAAAAATCGCGTATTATATAACCTTCAATTTTGGTTAACTTTGAATTTTTTTGGACTTGAAAAAAAAACGCCGAGATGCTTTCCATGGACTCCAGTACACCCTGGGTGTCCATTTGGGTGGGTGGAATCATCGAATTTTCATTTAAACTGTTAAATTTACACGCTTACAACTTACGCTGATTTCATTAACTCAAGGTCACCACGGACATTATCACAACATATAATGATCATATATGGTTCCAAACAGCATTATATGACTCTGAGATTATTTCTTCTAGTATCTCGAGATTTTTTGACATCGGGTCCCAAAACCTTCGAAATTGTTCAAAAAATGTGAATTATAGCCTTCAATTTTGGACTTTTGGGACCTGAAATATAAATTGTCGAAATGCTTTCCATAGACCCCAACACACTTTGGAGGTCCATTTTGGTGGGTGGAACCATCCACTTTACCTTCAAACAGTTAATTTAGTCGTTTTCATACACGCCTCTTGTATTGGCTTTAAGCTTCCACGGGATCTTTATGTAGCTGGCTAATGGTTGTATATGAGTAGGGGTGAAAGTTCGGTTTTCGGTTTGGTTTATAGGCCAAACCGAAACCGAACCACCCTAATTCGGTTTTTGGTTTTTGGAAACCAAACCGCACCACTTTACTTTTGAAACCAAACCAAACCAAACCATATAAATTTCGGTTTCAAAAGAAAAAACCGAACCAAACCGAATTTTTTTGGGCCTTGTTTATTTGGGCTTTAATCTGCAATTTTTGTGGGCTTAAATCATATAAATATTATATTCATCAACATATGTAGTAGCATAAATGCTTAATGAGATTTAAACAACATTAACAAGTTCTAAAACTTCAAAGTTATAATTCAAAGTTTTAAAAGTTCAACACTTCATCCAAAAAAAAAAAAAAATTGTTCAACATTACAACTTTAACAATTGTTTAACAGCAGTAGCAACAAGCAGCATAGACCAAGTTCTAAAAGGCAGTAAAAAAAGTAGCAACAAGCAGCATAGACCAAGTAGCAACAAGCAGCAGGGCAGCAGCAGCATCATAACAGCAGGTCAGCAGCAAAAGCAGTGATAGAGCAAGGCAGTAGCAAGTCTGGCAAGTGGCAACAGCAAGTCAGCAATGAGCAAAGAGCCACATCAGTCTATTATTTCAAGCACTTCATCAATATCAGCATCACCAACTGCCATATTCTTCAAGTCTATCATAATTCATAACAAAAATAACCAAGTTAAAAATATATACACATAATGAAAATAACTAACTTATGATTAGATGTTCTTATATATTACCCTCTTCAAGAAGCTCAACTTCCTCTAAACATTCTTCAATACTTGGAAATGGTGAAGCACGTAACCAATTTTGAGCACAAACAAGACCTTCTACAACTCGAGGAGTTAATGAGCTCCTAAACTGATCTAGAACCCTGCCCCCAGTGCTGAATGCACTCTCAGAAGCTACTGTCGAAACAGGGACAGCAAGAACATCACGGGCAATTCTCCCCACAGTAGGAAACCTTGAACAATTGAACTTCCACCAGCTCAAAATGTCAAATTCATCAATATCCTCCGCTGTATCCTCCTCCAAATATTTGTCTAACTCTATTTTTGCATCTCCATCTCTCTCACACTTGTGTTTCTTATACTTACTCTTTAAGACTTCAATACTTTTATGTTTGGGACTCAATGGAGTTTTGCCATCCTTACTTGAAGACACTTCCTCCCTATTCACATCATTACTAGAAGAAACACGATACTCCTCATACAAAGCATTCAAAGCTACCTTCACATTATCAACTAACTTTGATGCAACAATAGGGTCATAAATTTCAGTTATCATCCACTCAACATAATCAAGCTTATAACGAGGATCAAGGACAACGGCAATAAAAATCAGGAGGTTTATTTTTTCTGGATCACCCCAATACTTTTCATATTTTTCTTTCATTCTACAAGCCATAAGACACATATCCACATCATCACTTGAAACCAAATCTTTCATAAGTACAGCAACACTCACCAATTCATGAAAAAACAAATTCAAACTGACATATAAAGAGCCAGAGACATGCAAGGTCAGATCATAAAAGGCTTGTAGAAATTCAGAAAGTCTTCTTACATTATTCCAATCATCAGAATCTGGGCTACCCTTACCATCCCTCTCATTCAAATCAACTACATAGTGAGGGTCTTCCCCAGAATACCTCTCAAAAGCATCTTGAAGCTCAATAGCAGCATTCAACATCAAATAGGTGGAGTTCCACCTAGTAGGCACATCAAGGCACAATCCCTTTTTTGTGTTGATTTTTTCATCTAAGACACATTTTTTAAACCTTTGCAACCTAGCAGGAGATTGTTTGATAAACCTAACAGCATGCCTAACACGTTGAACCGACTCATTAACAGTTTTCAACCCATCAGAAACAACCAAATTGACAATGTGTGCAACACAACGCATGTGAAGGAAACGACCCTTAAGAACCCCAGTTTTCCACCCATTTATTTTCCTTCTCATATACCCAATTGCAGTATCATTTGAGCTAGCATTATCAACTGTTATGCACATGACATTTTCAAGCCCCCAATCAAGCAAACACTTTTCAATTTCTTTGCCAATATCATCACCCTTATGACTAGAAATAGGACAAAAATTCAGAATTCTTTTGTGTAATTTCCAATTATTATCAATAAAGTGGACAGTCAAGCACATGTAATTGATTTGTTGTATAGAGGTCCATGTATCAGTGGTTAAAGAAACTCTTGAATTACACCTTTTTAACACATTTTTCAGCTTTCGTTTTTCAGTTAAATATGTTTCAAAACAATCTTTGGCTACTGTAATTCGAGAAGGAACATTAAATCTAGGCTCTATTACACCACAAAAATGTCTAAAACCTATACCTTCAACAAACTTAAATGGAAGTTCATCAACAATCACCATAAATGACAAAGCTTTTCTAATACTACCAGCATCAAATTTGTGGTATGTCAACCCACTAGTACCACCACTTGGTTCTTTAGCACTTTTAAATGAAAGCAAACTTTGTTTTGAATCTTTAGGGGTGTTAAAGGGATACTTACGACATCGCGAAATATGAGCCCATAACACACTAGTGCCGTTTTTCTTTGCCCCACACTTGTAGCTCATCCCACAATACTTGCAAATTGCCTGCATTCCAGAAGGTAAGTCTTCTTTATCAAAGTGCTCCCAAACTTCAGAGCGTTCTTTCATCCTCTTCCTTTTTGCTCCCTGTTCTTTTTTCTGATTTTGAGAGACTTGGTCAGTCTCATGTTCGGATTGAGGCTGGTCAGGAACACCACCCACGTTGGTTGTCATTCAATAATTCGTGGTTGAATAACAATCTGTAAGAATACATGCAAACTCATAAATTAAGAATATTGGATCTTTTAAAGGGAATAATAATTATACCCCTAATAAACAAAATCAGTAGTAACTGGCTAACTAAACCAAAGACAATAACAATTTAGCAATAATAATTAGCCCCCTAAGATTCCACCCCACCACCCAAAAACAATCAAATTAAGCACTAACTGACTAACTGTACCCAAAACAAGTAAAATCAAAATTAACAATAATAACAAAGATCAACAATCTAATAAACACTTATCAAGACAATGATAATGCTATTAATCATGCGAACCCTTGAATTAATAACTAACTAATAATCTGAAACAATCTTCAACAGAGTCCAATCGAATAGAGCTTCAAAATACCAGAAAATTCAGAATGTTTTACTAGACCAAAACCCTAATCAGAATGTTTTACTAGACCAAAACCCAAAATACCCTTGAATAGACCAAAACCCCGAAGCATCAAAATACCAGAAAATTCAGAATGTTTTACTAATTTGTACAGAATAGAAAATTCAGAAACAACATCGCAATATGAACATCAAGCATAGATTAAAACCCTAATCAGAATGTTTAACAAATTTGTACATGTAATTTGCAGATTTTCGTAATTAACATTTAACACTAATCATAATTAAAACCCTAAAAAAATATGAACATCAAGCATAATCAAAACTTAAAAGCATACCTTTGGACGGTGGACGGTGTCACAGTGAACGCCTGAACGAGTGCGCTGTGCCGGTGAACGATGGAGAATTGGAGAGTGAGAATTCTGAGAAACACAAAAGAGATGATTGAGAAACTGAGAAGGTGAGGGTGAGAGACTGAGAAATTCGCAATGAGGGTTAGGTGGGTTGGAGTGAGGAAGAGGCGAACTGAGGATTGAGGAAGTCAGGAGAGAGAATCAGAGAATGAGGGTTAGGGTTTTTTTTTTTTCCTTATATACTGGGCCTAAATTTCGGTTTTCGGTTTTTTTCGGTTTTCCATTTCCTCAAACCGAAACCAAACCGAAAACCGAAATATTTTTTTTTAAAAAACCGAACCGAACCACTTCAAAAAAAAAACCGAACCATATTTCTTATTCGGTTCGGTTTTCGGTTCGGTTCGGTTTTAACCCGAATTTGTTTCACCCCTATATATGAGTCAAAACAACATTATATGACCCCGAGACGCATCCCATATTATTCCATGAATTTTTGACATCGAGTCTCGAATTCTCCTAAATTGCTCCGATTTCGTGTACTATAGCTTTTAAATTTAGCTTCCGCAGATCATTTTTTCACCCGACAAGATTATGCATCCAGGAACTTCCAAGGATTCCCAAAGGGCCTTGAGAGTCATACTTAGTGCCCGAACCATCTCATTTATGCCTTTTCCTTCCTTAATTATCATGTTTTAAGGCAAGGATGACATACCCTCAAATGTCAAAATATTTATTTCTATGTCTTGTCCTTGGGTGCACATGTCTTGTGCCCATGTCCACATGCCTCCTCGCACCATCCAACACCCCAACTTTAGGCATCGTGCCTTGTCCCAATCCCATACTTAGCATTTTTCCAAAAGAAAGCAAATGGTTAAGCATGTTCGCCTCCAATGTTGGAAAGAACACAAATTGCGAAAGGACTATGTTGGCTGAAATCGATTATATTAAGGCAACCTAATGAAATAACCTCATTTTTGTTTATTGTATACAGTTGCCCAAGTATTAGATTTATAGCATGTTTGGCTTAGTATTTTTAAGCAATGGTAATTGAATCATTTAACCATTGACATTACCTATTATCTTTCTAAAATTAGAGGTGAGGTAACACACCTCATTTCTTAAGGTAACTATTGCCCCCCATTTGTTACCTTTCCCAACTTTATGGTAACAAAAATGATTCCTTCCACAATTTCCAATTTGATACAAGGAGTTTCTTTCCTTGTGAATACCAAACAAAAAATAATGGTAAGTTGGTAACCCTTTATGCTACCCTTTCTTCTTATTTAAGTATTTCTTTTCCAATATTCATAGAGAAAAAACTGGGGCTTCTTCATATTCATACCAATACCGAACACACTTAAAACAAATTATTGAACCATGGTTTTTTTTATTCCCCTTTATTCAGAATAATTTAGGTGAAATGCCACCAAAATGACACTATTTACATAGCTAAATTAACTTACCATCACTCTAATCTTCCATGCCCTAACTCTCCAGAAAGTGCTCAAAAACCAACTTAAAAATACTTTCTAATTCTATGTACGTAGTGTACAACACTGACTCTTCCTAATCAAGTACTCCAAATCAACAAAAGCAGTTTAACATCCAACTACATTATTTATGTGATTGAAAATCTTAACAAGAACTAACAATTGTTGGGCTACTTGTAAGATACAAAATTCTACACGAAATTAAAAGACCGACATTTTTTGATAACCTCTTTGACAGTTAATTACTATTAACTAGGTATGGAGTATAACCAACATGCACATTATTTGTATGGTCGTACGAGTCGTCTATTATGAAGGTAACCAAAGCACTTAATTATTCCACGGCAATGCCCACCTTCTCAGCTTGAATAGGCCGCCACTTACGGTCAAATCCACTCTTCTCCAGTACTCTCTGTGATGAATGTTGCTCCTTGTCAATCTGCACCAGCTTATCATCAATGAGCTCAAGCAGCTCCTGCAATCCTACCCCTGTTACTGCTGAAGTTTTGACATGTGTAATGTGTTTAAATTCGGAATGAGTGTCTGGGCCATCTTCCTTCATGCTTGATTCATTTAAGGATTTTATTTTCTGATCAACTACTCCCGTCAAAATCTTAGAAGAGCAAAGTTGATCGTCCTCATCTTCATTGCCATTCCTTGATCCAAGCCAGCCACTTAAGTCGTCATTTTGTTGGTTCTCCTCCTTATCTTCCTGCAGTTGTTTATCAGCTATTTCATCTTCATCCTCAACAAACCTGTAGTCATTGTCATCGTTGAAATTTACGACCCCAGTGTCTGTGTCTATGTCTGTGTCTGTGTCTATATCTCTTTCTAAATCAATCTGAAAATTAATTTTTAAAAATTTTATTCATCAATGGTCCAGAATGACAAAAAAGGAAGAAGAAAGAAATGGAAAGATTAAGATATTGATATACCTTGTTCCAAACCTCAATCATGTCTTCAATCTTTTTCCCTGAAACACCTATTTGTCGCAAGACATCTAATACAGCTTCTCGTTGCTCCTCAAGATTCAATGCACTGGAATCCAGAACATGCTGTACATCATGTGCATAATCAATCACCAACCAGTTTCATGATCATTGAGTGAAGCACATCAAGTTCTAAATCATTTTTGCAATTTTCGGGTAAGACCTTAAGATATAGAAAATCCTACTACGCCAGATCCCTCATGGAACTCAGCCCAGATTTGCAGGCCATGCTGAAGGGAGGGGAGGAAAACCCCATCCTCAAACACCGTAAGTCCGTAACTAGAAGGATTTCTAGTTTACTACCTAGTGGTCTAAAACTACAAGTAGAGCTACCTTGTTGGTTCCCCATTTATGAATATAGCATTTTTTTTTTTGAAGATAGCATTGACAATGCAAAATCAAGATATAAAAGATAATTACCACAAGCAGATCTGCTTCAGCAACTTCTTCCAAGGTAGCATGAAATGCTTCAATTAGCTGAAAATTATGCATATTAGAATTTTAATATACTTCACATTCTATAAAAAAAAAAGTATAATTTACATGTCCTGTCAACTCACTTGAACTGGCAAATCTGATATAAATCCCACTGTATCACTAAGCAAGACCTTCCTCCTGAAAATAAATAACTCATAAGGTTAGGTCTAACTTGTCGGCATATTACTTCACCGTACTCCAAAAGCAGCCAGAGGAATGAATGTTGGGGGCTCCCTATGCAGTTAATTACCCAGACGGAAGAGCAACACCTCTGACTCTTGGGTCAACTGTCGCAAACAATCTGCACACATTGAACTAACACGGTGATTTAATTTACACCATATATGGAAGGAGCACTTTTGAATTATAATAGTGAATTTACCTATCATCACTATACAGATCACTATCTGAGAGCGCACTAACTAAAGTTGACTTCCCCTGTAATTGAAGAATTTTTCAGTCAAAAACATAAGATAAAAAATACATCTCTGAGATGCAAAAGAAAGGCAAGGGAAACATTTAGTGTAGGAGGCATTGATCACTGACAGCATTAGTGTACCCAACTACAGCAACAGTGGCAAGCCCTGGAGCATCTAAAACACCTTGCTTTCTCCGACCAGCACGCTGCACAGCACGTGTTTTACGAACTTCTTCAATTTCAGCCAGCAGGCGCTTTCTTCTTTCTGAGATTCTGCCATTGCAAGTCCAAAATTAAGTTCACTACAATTTCAGTAGAAGCATATCTGCATATACTAGAATAAGCATGTCGTCCAAGCATGTAACAGAGTTTTGCTCATGGAGATACATATAGTATGTTGAGAAAATCCTAGGTACACTTCCACGCAAAAAAGCTAGAGCTCCTCCAAAGTGTGCGATTTCAGCATGTACACTGCTTTCAGGACTAGCAATCTAGCATTGATCACACAATTATAAGAGCCAAATTCAACCCTGATCCAAACACATCAGGGTTTATATCTAGAAAGACTTAGAAACAACTGGACAAGTATGATGCTCTGTATGATTTATTATTATCACATAGCAATATGCACTGCATCCTTCATTATATAAAACCCTTCACAAGACAAGAAAAGTAATCACCAAGTTCATATAGTTTTAGTAAAATCTGATTTAAGAAGTAAACCTTCGACGTTGAAGCTCAAGCTCGGTTTCTCCAGCACCACTTATAAAACCACGACCACCACTTCCTCTCCTGTAATGTGCAATAGTGCAAATTAGAAATATTTTCAATTACAGACTAACGGTTGAAATCAAGCTCAAAACGTTGTAAGCTTAGATGAGAAATGAGAAACAGCTGAGACATAGACCTCAATAGCATATGAAGGGTCAGCACTACAGCAGAACAGTTTTCAAATTTTAATCAGATTGTCAGGTAGAATTGGTTAGTGGCTCAAGTCAGAAGAGAGCAGGGACACAATGAACAGCCAAATGAAACAGCAGTGTTTAGAAGAGCCCAAAATCACCATGTACCACTCCATGATCAATATTCTCATTTGACCCTAACCCAATAGGCCCATAGAGACTAGATATCAGAAATCAATACACAAACCACTCGACTTTGGGAATTAGGATGCAATAATCAATAACAGCCTAAATCCTAATCAAGAAAACAGCCAAGTAACTTGATAAAACAGATCAAAATTGTCATTGTGTCCTTCACAAGTTCGTCATTCTCCTGCTGTTTAGGATTAATATCTGTCATTATTAAGTTTTGTAGAAACTAGAAAGCAACTTAGCTTAATAAAACATTGGCAGAATTGCAAGAAATCAACTTTCTTAGCCACCAGCCCAACAAATTATTAGCTTCAATTAACCATCCGAAGTATGCCCAGGCAATTCTGTATATAGAGTAGGGGACTTACCCTCGAGCACTCACAACTTCAGCTTCTCCTTTTGTTCCAAAAGTGTAACGTCCATCAGAAGCCCGTACTCGAACAAGCCGACTCTTCTTATACATTATAGCTGCTAACTCAGCCTGAAATTCTAAAAAGATCAGAAAAAAAATCACCTAGTTCCAAACCAAAGCCATGTCTTGATAAATGTAAGGTAATAACTTCTGATTTGATCAGGAAAACCACAGAAATGAATAGATGAAAACAATAGCTATACCTGAAGTTTTGCTTCCTTAGTGTATGCATGGGCATTAAAAATCTCTATGATAAGGCCGACACGATCTAAAACAGGTTTCTCCCAAGCCCTCTACAACAGAATGAATGCTCACTCATAAGTACTCAATATACTACAACAATTTCCCTTGCAATATTTTACTTGGTTAATTGAAAAAGTAAAAAGTACAAACTTAAGCAACTTACTTCCAGATTTCTCTGCTGAATTGCAGACAGTATTGAATTGACAAATACAGCATCCATTTCACCTTGCTACACGAACATAATGATAATGCATCAGAACACAACCAATCCATATTATGTAAGCCATGAAGTATCACTTGTACAGGCATTATTCAAAATCACAAGTTCCTTGCCTCTGATTCAATGGCATGTATATGGCACTTAACGTTTTCCACCGTCCCCGGTCCAAAGAACGTATCTGCACATGTATTAAATGAAGTGCATTCACAAAATGATCTAAACACTCTTATCTTCAACACATAAACCAAATCAACACCATGACAATATTATTCACCCCAACCCTCAACTCACCAATTTATGTCAAACTCAATTATATCAGGCATTATTTCACAATCACTGTCTACTGTCTATGTTCATCTTCAAACTAAACCTTTCTCAAATCAATATTTCTCATACTATTCCAACATATTAAAGAAAAGCAATAAGTCATTACGATTTTAGTAAAGGTGGACCTATGTTACTTGGACTCGGATGAAGTGTCCAATTAGACACGGGTGTCCAAGTGTCCAAGTGTTGGTGTCCGACACGAGTCGTGTCGACACAGACATGTGAGGTAAATGAAAGAGTCCGAGTAACATAGTAGGTGACACTTTTCCTGATTATCTCAAAACAACATAGTGCGACTTTATTTCCGGATTAAGAGAGTACGAGTACATAAAAATCACTTCAAAAAATATGCCACAAACATACACGACTACACAAGTACATGACATTTTTACCAATTTTCTAAGAAGTACATTGCATAACACATATCAACCCAGTGTTCAATTTTGGATTACCCCACCCCCATTTAAAACCCAACTCCCTACACTGTAATAAATTACAACCGACACTGATTTTGTCATAAAATCCTACATAAACATATATTAAATCAATAAAATAAAGGAAAGGGAACTTTGCAAAATTCGATCAAAAGACTAAGAAGCAACCTGAGCGGCCCTTGCCGGAACTAGAAAGTGGGTTCTGAACAACAACATGCGGGGGCGATTGTTTCAGACTCAAATCAGTAGAAAAGTAGCCATCTCTTTGTTCATCCAACGAATTAGCCAGGTTAAGAGCTTCGTTAAGCTTGGCCTGTAAATTGGCATTTGGTCGGACACGTGGCTGAACCACAAAAAGCTTCGGCGTACCTTCAGAACCTCGATTTGGGTCTTCCTCATTTGAGGGGTGTGTGAGAGAAGGAGCAAAATGGGGTTTTGAGTGATGGGTTTGAAGAAGGGATTGCAGGGGAAGAAAAAGGTGGTTAGGAGAGAGAAAATTGAGAGAAGAAATGACGTGATTGAAGGTGAATAAGCCGCCTGAGTTGTGATTGTAAAAGAGAAATTCCTTTGATTGCTAATTGATTCTTGTTTATCATGCTTGTTTTCTTGTTTCTTGATGAAATAATGCTGCGAAAATTAGATCACTGATGGTCTGAAACTCTGAATCTCTGAGACTTGCCGTAGATGTTGAGGTTTAGGCACTAGAAGGTTCATAGTTGCAGTGGGCTTTAGCACACTCGAGACATGGTCCGAACTTAAATTGGCAAATTTGGCACTAGATGGTTTATAGTTGCAGTGGGCTTTAGCACACTCGAGGTATGGTCCGGCTAAAACCCATGGTGTCTCGAGGCTCCTTGGTCGTTATTGGACCGTGTTAGGTACAAACCAATCGATCAGAATGGCTTCTTATATTGGCATTAAATAACTTCTTCGTTCAAGGAAAGGAGGTGAACTGCTTTGGGCCATGCCGCCCATTAGTGGCATGACCCAGAGCTATGTCTACTGTGTAAAATTGAGGAAAAATACAAGTGAAGTTCGCAACTTTACCCTCAAATGATGTTTCGGGTTTTTTATACGTGTAGGCTGTAGAGATAAGAAGATCAAGAATTCCTTGACACATTGACAAAAATTGTTTAATATAAACATACCAAACAGATAAATATAGCAATAGAAAATACTATCAGACATGCTAGAATTTACAGGTGACATGCTGACATAACCCAAAATAGAAGATGGTGAGTTGTGGATATATTGCTTGTAGACAACACAGCAGGGAATCAGGAACAGTACAAATCTTCCTCATTTCAAAAGAATTCTGCTTATTCTGTTCAATCAAACCTACTTGAAATTTTATTCCAGTTTAACTCTTGATTTATACTTTCGGTGGGCCTTAAAAATTATTTATCCTTTCTTTCAAAAAAAAGCAACCAAGAGAATACAGGCAGAAAAGTTGTCAGCTTCCGGTTCCAGACGTTTCCAGTATTAGAAAAAATCTTGAAACATTCACATCTCAATCAAGACTGTTAGAATCATTGAACTCTTTCTTTCACTTTCATTTGATCAGAGAAAACCTGAGAGTTCATAATCAATAAGAAAAAGAAAGGAATAAAAGGAGGCAGTGAAGTTGAATGGCAGTGCAGTATTCGTGTTGTGGTTCACAATTCTTCATACGAATCGCGATATGCTTCATACTGGTAGTGTTTGCTGGGTTGATGTCTGGACTCACCCTGGGACTCATGTCCCTCAGTCTTGTAGACCTTGAAGTAATAGCTAAAGCTGGATCTCCCTCTGATCGTAAAAATGCTGGTAATTTCCACACCTTGATTCTTTGCTTCGTCTTTAAAGTCGTTAATTAAAAAAAAAAAAAACTAAAGCCCTGAATCCCTGATGTGATAGTTTGATGAACAGAAAGTTGCAGTATAATTCATCCTTTCAACAGTAGTAAGGTTTTTTTTTTTTTTTTTGGTATGCAGCAAAGATATTACCTGTTGTCCAGAGACAGCACTTGTTGCTCTGTACCCTCTTAATATGCAATGCAGCTGCCATGGAGGTAATTTACCATAAAGAAAGAGTGCTGAGTAATATAGGTATTTTGGTATATATGCAAAAAAGTAAAACTGAAAAAATAACATTGTTGCAGGCCCTTCCGATATTTCTTGACAGTTTGGTTGCAGCCTGGGGTGCTATTCTTCTTTCAGTGACACTGATTCTATTGTTTGGTGAGGTGAGATCCCTATAGCATATACTAGAAGTACTCATTAACCAAGATTAGAAACCAGACGGATTTAAACTAATATTATATTGCATTACAGATCATCCCACAAGCTGTTTGCTCACGGTATGGTTTGGCAATTGGTGCTGCTGTTGCCCCTCTTGTTCGAGTTCTTGTCTGGATTTGTTTCCCTGTTGCATATCCGATAAGCAAGGTGATAGAACTAACTCAATATGCTCTCCATTTTTCTCCTTTTTTTACCTTCCAAATAACAGGTATATTTCAGAATCTACATACATTCTTTCCTCATTTTCTCTCCTTTACCAGCTATTGGACCTTTTGTTGGGGAAGAGACACAAAGCAATGTTTCGGCGAGCTGAATTGAAAACTCTAGTTGACTTGCATGGAAATGAGGTAGACTGCACCTTACTATTTCTTCCTTAATGAACAGAAACCTGGTAAACAAGACAACGAGACATAAGCTGATAATCTATATTCTATACATATGAACAGGCAGGAAAAGGAGGAGAACTTACCCATGATGAGACTACTATCATAGGCGGAGCACTTGGACTCACAGAAAAAACAGCAAGAGATGCTATGACTCCTATAGAAAACACTTTTGCCATCGATATTAATTCTAATCTCGATAGGTGAACTTTATTATCACAAGATCTCTTTGAAAGTTTGAATCTGATGGAAATGAATACGTCGGGGTCCAAGCAGTTAAATCTCATATTTTCTTTTGTAATATGACAGGAATTTGATGAATATGATATTGGATAAAGGACATAGCAGGGTTCCGGTTTATTATGGGAATCCAACAAATATCATAGGCCTTGTCCTGGTACTCCACTTTTATCTTTGAAGTTGTAAAATTGACAAATCCAGTTTTCACTTCTATGCAGAATTGATTTTGATGGTCTTTAGTAAACTTGAAATATGTTGAGAATTTGAGATGCCGTTAAGTTGCAGTAATGAAGCTGTCAGTGACAGCTTATTGTCAATGCATATGGCTTTCATAAGGATAAATACAAAAAATTCAGGCAGAAGCAGTTTATGTCTTGCCCTCTTACTCCAATGGCTTCATGCCAATGCAGGTGAAGAATTTGCTGAGTATTAACCCAGAAGACAAGGTACCGGTAAAGAATGTCACATTTCGTAAAATCCCAAGGTACAATAGCTTTTTACACAGAAGTAATAAAAGGCTAGAATGTGGCATGCAGCCTGCATGCCATAATACAAATTCTTAGAAAAGAGGTGCTAAGTTTTTATCTCATAATTTAGTTTTCTATCCCAGGGTTTCAGAAAACATGCCTTTGTATGACATACTCAACGAATTCCGAAAAGGCCATAGTCATATGGCTGTTGTTGTTAGAGATAGTGATTCAGAGCTGTCAGGCAGCAAACATCCACAGGAAGGTAAGCAATTACATTTATGCTCTAAAAGTTAATGTCTTAAGTTCTTAACTTCCATCCAATTTATTTTCCTTCCTCGATTATGATAAATTTATAGAACCTTTGAGAGAGGTGAAAGTGGAGAAGGATGGAAAACAACTACCCCAAGAAAAGGAATTGAGAAGCAAGAGATCACTGAAGAAGTTGAAGAGCTTGCCTAAGACTACTCATGAATTTCATAGAGAAACTTCTAAAGGAAAAAAGTGGTCAAAAAATGTGGAATCTGAAATTTTGGACATCAAAGAGAAACAACTTTCTGAGCTCTCAGGAGATGGAGAAGCTATCGGCATAATCACGATGGAAGATGTCATAGAAGAACTGCTACAGGTGAGTCACATTATAAAAGCATATAACTATTCAATATATGCCAAGATTCTAAACCTTCTATATTCCTGGTTCTGTTGTATGTGCAGGAGGAAATATATGATGAGACTGATTACAGATGAGAAAATTTATAACACAGGAATCAGGATCAGGTGCTAACATAGCCGCTTTAGTTGCGAGGTTTAATCTTTAACAACACTTTTTTTTTTTTTGGGTGACAATAAAAAAAGAAAATCATGCTGTAATATAATATTCTGGAAGTATTGATACTGATAATTCAAACTAGTATGACTTCTGTATTTCATTTACAATAACTGTACTTTGCTCTTGCAAACAACATCACTCATTCATTCCTTTTATTCTGGTCTAAAAAGGTGGGTTAATTGTTGATAATTTCTGTATTACACAAATGCTAAGTTCAACAGGAATGACCCATGACAGCATAACCACAATGAGAACCTGTGTGAGATTAACAGCATTCTAGTTGATGCATCAAAGGTATTACTAAATGAGTAGGGATACGATGCCTATTGAAGGCACTTCACAGAATTCACACACATAAGCATAAGTTACCAGAACACTAGGAATGGGAATAAAAAAAAAAAATCAAGCATCACTTTTACAAGGGATCAGCATAAAATTAGGTTGAGCTGCTGTGGCCATGGAAGAAATAGAAACATGGTTCAACTTTGAGAGCTTTGCTTACCTATGTTATCTAGATCAGCACAACCCCCAAAATCAGCTCTGATCAGATTATGGCAATTAACAAGAAGTGCAGTTTATTCCCTCAATTGGACAGTAGACTTATTCAGAACTCCAAACATGCATACAGGCGATACATCCATAAGGATCTGCAATATAGAGAGCCTTCTATACAGGTAAAGCACCCTGAGAAGTCCCTCCCATTGCTCAAGCCAAGCAATGTCAAATCTCCAATATTGCCCAGCAAATAAAAACCTAGAAAACCAAAAATTATTTCTAATACAGTAAGTAGCATGTCCGTTGGAAAACCTATTTTTATTCAAATTAAAAATTCTTTGACATCCTGTCCTCCCTCTTTCCTTATTCACGTTGCTTTACTCTAAAAAAAAGTCCTATAGAACATCCTGCTCCCTCAAAAGACTGATCTAGCCTCTAGGCACAACTAGTACAGAATGCAGTTCTCTTGAGTATTACGTCCAATTATCCATAGAAATGTAGAATATATGCACAATTAAGAGCATATGGGCCTAATACTCTAATTGTCTTGGGATTAGTAGTTGGTAGAACTAAGCTTCACCACAGAACCAAGTCAACCAGTATGCAATCCAGAGATTGACTAACAGTCTAAGGAGTAAGGAGGTACAGATATCAGCTTTCCTATCTGAGAAATATTTTGAAAGACATAAATGACTTACATTATGACAACAAATGTAGAAAACGTTGGGTTACAAAATTGACAGAATAGAAGGCATCTTCTTTAAAGGTTCTGAAAATTACATAAAGGTGAAACTAACTTTGATTAAAAAAGTAAACAAGGCATAACAGAAGTTAATGAGTTGTGGTTGGCAAGAAAATGTACCTGATATGGGCTCATGTTTCCAATTTACAAACTCCATCTAAGGTTAGCTTTTAAAGCTCACACACAATTCATCAAATAACAATGTCAGCTTTACTACGACCTTGGCCCCACTGACGTCGACGAGCCCTCCTCTTTCTTCCATCAGTTTTCGCTTTATCTTTCTCCTTCAAATCCCTCTCTCCCCTTCTTTTGTACATTTTGAAGGTAATCTGTCTATCAGCTGCCATCTTCCTCACTTTTTCTGTTATTTCTGCAGCAATTTGTCTGTTATACAACTTTTTCAGGCCCTTCATTAATTTTGCAAAAGTGCTGGGCTCTGGCATCACATCTGCATCCATCATTTCCAAGCAATAAGAACATGCCTCTTTCACATGCCCCTTTGAGAAGAGTGCATGGATCCAGATTGTCCATGCATAGACATTCAACTCACATCCTTTTACGATGATACAATCCCACACATCTTTAGCTAATTCAAGCTTTTCAGCTCGTAAAAGGGAGTTCAGTAGGTCCTTAAAAGTACCATACTGGGGAGCAGATAAAAGCCCTCTGTTAATCATTTCCTTGAAATAGTCAGAAGCTTCGACTAGACAATCCTGCTCAACAAGACCATGAATCATTATAGTGAAGCTATCTTTGCCGGGACTAAGGCTACTTGCTTCCATCTCATTCCAAAGTTCAATTCCTTCTTTTACCTCCCCCAACTTGTATGCCAAACGGATCAAGGTATTGTATATTTTAGTATCTGGAAAGCAACCGATCTTTTTCATCTCATCCACAAGCTCCTTACACTCTTCAAATTGCTCCTTCTTCTCATGAGCCAAAAGTATATGCAGATAAGTAGTTTGATCAGGGGTGTGGCCTCGCTGAAGCATAGTGTCTAGAAGCTCATAGGCTTTATCAATTTTTCTGCACTTGCATAGTCCACTAATCAAGGCATTATAGGTTATGAGATCAGCATCACAACCACTTTTCTCCATGTCATAAAAGACTCGCATTGCTTCCTCGGTTTTCTCCATGGAACAAAGCGCCTGGATCAATACTGTGTAAGATGCTGCATTTGGCTCACAACCCTTCCTCCTCATTTCTTTCAAAAGATCATAAGCATCAGCCATCTTCCCAGCCACTGCATACCCGTTAAGCAAATTATTGTAGACTACTATATCTGGTTCAAACCCAGCCTCCCTCATTTGGACCAAGACATGCTTTGCTTCCAACAGTTTCCCTTCTTTACACCATCCATACAGCAAGGAAGTAAAATGCTTGAGGCTTGGTGTAAACCTCATCCTCATATCCTCAAAAAGTGAGGCTGCCTCCTTGACACTACCATTCTTAGCCAACGCATCCAACAAACACCCAAAGACATACTCGTCAGGCTCACACCCGTATTTAGGCATTTCATCTAACACTTCAACTGCCTTCTTAACCATCCTTGCAGAAGCAAACCTTCTCATCAACACAACAAACACATCCGGGGTAATTAACCGCGGACTCTCTCTCCTCATTTCTTCTATTATTGCCCAAACCGTTCCGAATTGCCTCATTTTGGCTAGAGTCCTAACCATGGCCTTATAAACATCATAACTATGCCTGTAACCAGGCTGTTTCGATGCCCATGTGAAGAACTGATAAGCTAAATTCCCCGCATCCCCACATCGGTTTAATACCCGTTCTGTTAACCCGAGACGCATAATTATACCAGATTCTTGTAAAGCAAGCTCCAATTTTGGAACCCTAGAGTGGAACTTCCTCAAAATTCGATAGATTTTTTCAACATCAGCCTCAAATTCATCAAATTGACGATCATGGGAAATACTATTTTGTGAATCACTATCCAAATGAACCAATCCAAACCCATTTTTCGGGTTCACAAATTCAGGATTGAATTGGGGTAATTGATTTTGAGGAACAGGGAATTTATTAAAAGGGGAAGAAATGTTGGAGAAATTGGCAGCAAATGTTAATCCAGCATAGGATTCAGAGGGTACCAATAAAGAAGGGAGACTGTTCTTGCAGAGATACAATGATAATCTACGCATTTTCTCTCTCTTTCAATTTAGCTATGCAGTTTGATATCTATAAAATCAATCCAAAAAAAAAAATTTACAAATTCAAAAAAAAAATAGTTTGAATCCTAGAGTAGAATTAATGGAGTTGAGATGCTATTAACACATAAAAGATGACATTTTTACCTGTTCAGGAGTTTAATGGCTTCAGCAAAGCTATCACAAATTGCTATTTTTCCCTTTCAAATCTTTCTATAGGTTAGGATCACGAAAGTTGAGATAAATAGTTGAAATTTCTGATTTTTCTCTCATTGACAGTTTTCTCTGTTGATTAGGATTTTAAGGATACTGCTTTCCTTCACGACTTTACAAGAGCACCATGGAAGCCAAACAGAATGAGGTCGGTGGTTCAAGTAAGTTGGAGAGTGAAGAGGGCGCCCCAACTTGATCTATTTGATGACTAACCGCTAATATCGAAGGGTTGTTTATCAAGGTGATGAACACTATTTACTTGATGGGGGTTTATAAATTCCCTTGTTCTATTTTACAGTCAATCCGGTCTGTTATGGCGAGGTTCTTTTGGGGAGGAAAGGGGGATGCTCGCAAAGTTCACTGGAAGTCCTGGGATGATATGTGCTCACCCAAGTGTTTAGGGGGAATGGGATTTAAAGATCTTGCGATCTTTAATGACGCCCTCCTTGGTAAGCAAGCGTGGCGTTTAGTGCATAATGAGAACTCTTTGCTCAATCGGGTTCTCAAGGCAAAATATTATCCGAATAAGTCTTTTCTTGATGCGTATTTGGGGTATGGGGGGAGATACTCTTGAAGTAGTATTTGGGGTGTGAAGGCGCTTCTAAAGGAGGGGGTGATATGGCGCATTGGGAATGGCTCAAAGGTGAACATATGGCGAGACCCCTGGCTAGCAGACGCGGAGGGAAGGTTTGTGTTAAGTGCTGAGGTCGAAGGGTTGCAGCAGGTCTTTGATTTGATAGATATGGAGAGGATGGAATGGAACTACGATCTGATAGCTCAAAATTTCAATGCCAGGGACCAGCACTGCATTCTTTCAATTCCCATCAGCCCAAGGTTGCCAATTGATACTATCACATGGGCATTTTCTTTGGATGGATTATACTCAACAAAGACGGCATATATGTTGGGGAAGGGCTGCAATTTTGATAATTTCCACCTCGCTTGGGTGGAAATTTGGGGTCTGGAAGTCTCTCCAAAGGTGCGCCATTTCCTTTGGAGATTATGCACAAACACCCTTCCAACCTGTGCCCTGCTTAGTCACCGTCCCTTGATTGCAAATGCAAGCTGCCCGTGGTGTGAGGGAGTTGAAGAGAGCAGCACTCATGCGCTATTTGAGTGTATGAGAGTGCAGGAGCTTTGGCAGGATGGTGGTTGTTCGAGCTTAATTGAAGACCTATCAGGCTCCTTGTGCGAATTAATTGTGAGGTGGAGAGGTGCTAATGCCAAGCTCAAGCAAAAAGCTGCCTATCTAGCTTGGATTATATGGGCTGAGCGAAAAACCTAGATTTTTGAAAGCAAAAGCATGCCAAATGCTCTGCTTCTCACCAGATTAGAGAGGTTAGTGGAGGAATATGGGAAGTTCATCAAGAGAATTTATGCTACCCCTGTGCAAAAGGTAAAACACAGCCCCTCAAAGTGGATTGCTCCACCAGAAGGGTGCATAAAGCTAAATGCCGATGCAAATTTGGGTGGTGAAGGCTGGGTTGGCTTGGGGACAGTGGCTCATAATCACAAAGCCGAAGTTCTCTTTGCTGCAACCAGAAGAATCAAGGCTACGTGGCCCACGGAAATTGCTGAAGGTAAAGCCTCTTGCGATGGCAACTAGATTGGCTCTGCATTTTGGCTACAAAGATGTATTATTGGAGTCGGATTGTCAAGTTTTAATTAACCGTCTCTCCAAAGCTGCAATTTTCTTCTCTGATTTCGATAGTGTTCTGCAGGATGTTTTAACTTTAAGTTGTAATTTTAATAGCTTTAAGTGGTCTCATGTTAAGAGAGGTGGGAATACTATCGCCCACAATCTCGCAAGAGTAGTACCGTTCGGGGTTGAACAAGTTTGGGTCAATCATTGTCCTTTGTAGGTTTCTTCCTATGTACTCTCGGACACCTTGTCCCTTGATTAATAAATTGCTCGGTGTGTTTAAAAAAAAAAGGTGATGAACACTATAAGGTGATACTTTTTATTTTATTTTTTTTTACGGTTTTTTCACCACATAACCTGAGTATTTTTTTTGTTTATTCACCATATATCCATGAAAATTTTCAAATTCATCATATACTCCTAAGTTATTACCAAAATTCACAATATACCCCTAATGAAAATAAGATGAATGGAATTTGGTTAAATATACCTCAAAATCACCTTAGATCTCTCTTCTCACCCCCAAATCACTCCTCTTCTTTTTCTAGCCCCTAAAACCACTCCAAATCTCCATAACCATATTTGTATGATTGATTTTGAGAATGAGAAAAGGAATTTAAGGGTGGTTTTGTGGGTGAGAAAAAAGAATGTGGGTAGTTTCGGATGTAGAGGAATGTATTTAGAATGGTTTCGGTTCATAATTAGCTCTAATGATTGACAAAATAAAAAATCATTAGTCATCAAGGGTATATGATGTATTTTTGTAAAAACTCGAGGGTATTTGATGAATTTATAAAAGTTCAGGGATATATGGTGAATAAACAAAAAACTCGAGGGCATATGGTGAAAAACCTTTTTTTTTTTATTACAAGACAAGATCACAAGAGTCTATTATCAGATCAATGTAGGTTATATTTGCGGAAATTTCACCAAATGCCCCTGAGTTATTTTTTTATTCACCAAATACCCATCAAAACTTTTAAATTCACCAAATACTTACGAGTTTAAGAAAAATGTCACCAAATGCCCTTAATGACTAACGCCGATTAACACCGTTAGTCATTAATGACTAATATGCCACGTGGAAACCTCTAATTGGTTGTTGTAATATTAGTTAATTAATTATTAAAAAAAAATTTAAAAATTAAAAAAAAAATATTAAATTATTTTTTTAAAAAAAAAACCCACCACCCCCAAGGGCCGACCACCAGCCACCACGCCAAATCCCACCTTGCGCCGGTGGTCCATAATCGCCGGCGAGGGCAGCCCCCCCACCCTCCAACACCCCCTCCCCCTACCCCAGCCCCTTCTCCCTGCGTTTTCCCCTCCCCCACCTCGAAAACCCCCCCTCCTTCATGGTCGGCGCCCTAAACCCCCTCCCCGGCGCCGGCGAACCAATTTCGCCCTAACCCCTGCCATCCCCACCCCCTTTCCCCCCTAAACCACCACCCAAAAAAATCGAAAACCCCCCGAATCGAAACCCTAGATTTCGATTTGGGGGGTTTTCGGTTTTTAGGGTGGTGGTTTAGGGGGGAAAAGGGGTGGGGCGAAAGTGGTTTGTCGGCGCCGAGGAGGGGGTTTGGGCGCCGGCCGTGGAAGGGGGGTTTTCGAGGTGGGGGAAGGGTTTAAGGGGAGGGGAAAACGCAGGGAGAAGGGGCTGGGGTAGGGAAGGGGGTGTCGGAGGGTGGGGGGCTGCCCTCGCCGGCGATTTGGCGTGGTCGGCCCTTGGGGTGGTGGGGTTTTTTTTAAAAAAAAAAATTTAATTTTTTTTACGGAAATTTCATGAAATGCCCCTGAGTAATTTTTTTATTCACCAAATACCCATCAAAACTTTCAAATTCACCAGATGCCCCTGAATTTAACAAAAATATCACAAAATGCCCAAATGACTAACGAACGTTAACTCCGTTAGTCATTAAGGCTAAATTTGCCATGTGGCAACCTATGATTGGTTACCATTTAAATTATTTAAATTTTAAAATTTTAAAAAATTATAAAAAAATGATTAAAATTTTTTTAAAAAAAATAACCCACCCACCACAACCACAACCCAGCCCCAACCACCACCAGCAGCAGCCAGGCCGCCGTTTCTGATATTTCCCTCACGTCGGCGCCATCCCAAACCCAATGAAAACCACCGCATCAGCCGGCACTCGACGCAAACCACCGCTGCCCCGAACCCGTCACCGCCATTGAACCACCACTCCACTATCCTCAAACCCCTCATCTCTCTCTCGAAAACCCCTCCCCTCCCCACCGCCGGTGTCGAAATCCCCATCCCCATACCGACGAACCCAAACCACACCCCCCCTCCGTCGTATCCACCCCCTGAACCATCACGTCGAACCCTAAAATAAAAAACAAAAAAACCCCAAATCGAAACCCTAGGTTTTCGATTTTGGGGTGGTGGTTTTTGGCTATGATAAGCAACGGCGATCCGGCGACGTGGGTGGGTAGAACTTGGCGCCAACGAAGGATTTTGGCTCAGGTGGTTTAAGGGGGCCGGGAAAAGTGGGTAGGTCGGGGTTTTTTCGAGTGTAGGATGGGGTTTTGGGGTGGGGGGAAGGTGGTTCTGGGAAGAATAGGGACGGCGACGACATGAGATAAGGGGTGAATGGGTGGCCTCCGGTGCCGGTGCCGGCGGTGAGGGTAGTGGGGGGGCAAGCGGATGGGTTGTCGTGAGGGTGGTGGTGCAGTGGGAAGGAGAGTGGCTGGGTTTGGGTTTTTTTTTTAATTTTATTTTTGTTGTTAAATATAATAATTATAAAAATGAATCAATAAGAAATCGCCAAGTGGCATAATTAGCCTTAATGACTAACGGTGTTAACCGCCGTTAGTCATTAAGAGCATTTGGTGAAATTTTTTTAAACTCGGGAGTATTTGGTGAATTTGAAAGTTTTGATGGGTATTTGGTGAATAAAAAAATTACTCAGGGGCATTTCATGAATTTTTTTTTTAATTTTTAAAGTTTTTTTTAATAATTAATTAACTAAGATTAAAACAACCAATTAGAGCCTGCCATGTGGCATATTAGCCATTAATGACTAACGGTGTTACCGCCGTTAGTCATAAGGGCATTTGGTGACATTTTTCTTAAACTCAGGAGTATTTGGTGAATTTGAAAGTTTTGATGGGTATTTGGTGAATAAAAAAATAACTTAGGGGCATTTGGTGAAATTTCCGTTATATTTGTGCTTGCTTCCAAGTTGATTTGTAATTACTCATTATTGTAGACTTTGTAAAAAAATAAAAATTAAAAAAAAAAAAGAAAAAAGGAAGAAGCTTGAGTATTGTATGTGACTAGGTTAGGTCCCGTGCCATGCACGGTAATTTTCAATAACTATTTTTAAACGTAACACTGTATTATATTTTTTTAACTTCCATATGTTATATTCATATCAATTGAATATTGAAAATCTACAAAAAAAAAAAAAAAAAAAAAAAAAAAGACCGGAAAAAGGACACTAAGAATAATCAATATGTGTTGTTCTTGGCATGTATTATTGAAGTATCTATACAGTACTAATGGATTGAAATTCTAATCATAAATCATTCAAGGAAATAAAAATAAATAAATAAAGTATCATTTGATGATTTGATATTCGCATTTCGTTATTTAAGCTTGTAGCTTCATTCTATTACATAATTTAAACAAAATCAAGAAAAAAATATATAATCTTGTTTTAATAAACGTACATAGTACCTAATATGTCTTTCCTACCAAAAATAGTCCATAACAAATTATGTTAAGATTTAAGAATTTATACTTAATTTTTTTGCTTAAGTTTATGATTCTCAATCTGTTTTATTTTGGAAAGATTCATCAAAATATTTTCGTACACTTTGTAGGAAATTAATATAATACTTTATATATTTAAAAATATTTTTTTCTTAAATAGTTTTTTTTAAAAAAAAAAAATCTAAGGACACACCAGG